CAGCCCAGGCTTCGGCTGCATGCGAGCCAATGAGTAATCCTGTTCACAGGCGCTGGTGTCGACGCGCGCATGATGCGGGCCAACGCAGCGACACATCCCGACCCTTCATGAGGAGATTATATGACTGAACAGAGGCGCAGTGACTCCCTGTAAAATGCGTATGGCGGTGGCGGAATTCTCGAGGTGCGATGGCGTCGACCAGGCGGCAACGTCATGGGTAGCTCCATTCGGGAAGTCGCATTATCTGCGTTGCTTCATACAATGTCTTCTGCTTCGATGCGTAGATGGTATACAGACCAAAAGAATCTGGTTTCAAAGGCATGAACCGTAAGTTGCCCAAGTGGTTGTGCAATCCTGTCGTGGCGTGGGGGCCATTGTGATGAAGATCAGTGTGCGACCGGGAGATGCTGAGCCCTCCAAGTGATAGGTTTCGTACCTAAGCAAGATACGATGTCACTTGATAATGACCTAGTTTAGATTGACGCATAGCTGATTGCTACGTTGGCGTTAACTCGACTATGGTATGGCATGGCGAAGGTAAGGCCGTGGGTTGTTAGGGACGTGAGGGAGGAATGGGCGGGGTGAGCGCCACATGTGGCTGTGCCGTGGCGCGCTAGCGCATGACGCGCCTGCCCGCATTCCCACTCAGTCAACTTTCCTGCGCGACTCCCAAACTGTTTGATCTGCGACCACGCGACCATACTGCCTCTACTCTCATCGTAGACATACCACGTCTCCTCCACGTATAAAACAGGCAGCAGGTCACAAAGAACATTAAAGAGTTCAGGCGATTCGAAAGGTAGGCGCTTCCAGGTTGCATTGCCCCTCCGAAGCTTCGGGAAGCAGACAGGCACTATGTTTGGGCTGCACAGAACATCGCTGACAACTCTTCCTACAGCTACACACTACCCCTCTCTATACTGCGATACCCCGATCACCAGACATGGCCTCGACCGCGCTCATCGACGCCGACATGGCGCCCACGCTCCAGTCCATCCTCGACCAGAAGACGCTCCGGTGGATATTCGTCGGCGGCAAGGGTGGTGTAGGAAAGACGACAACTTCCTGCTCTCTCGCCATCCAGCTCGCAAAGCACCGCAAGTCGGTCCTCCTCATCTCGACCGACCCCGCGCACAACCTCTCGGATGCCTTCAACCAGAAGTTCGGCAAGGACGCGCGCCTCGTCAACGGCTTCGACAACCTCAGCGCCATGGAGATTGACCCCAACGGCAGTATACAAGACTTGTTGGCAAGCGGAGCGGAGGAGGGCCAAGACCCAATGGCGGGCCTGGGCGGTATGGGCAGCATGATGCAAGATCTGGCCTTTAGCATTCCCGGTGTCGACGAAGCCATGTCGTTCGCCGAAGTGCTCAAGCAGGTCAAGTCAATGTCCTACGAAGTCATCATCTTCGACACGGCGCCCACGGGCCACACGCTACGCTTCCTCCAATTTCCCACCGTTATGGAAAAGGCCCTCTCCAAGGTCTCGCAACTCTCGCGCCAATTCGGGCCCATGCTCAACTCTTTCCTCGGTGCGTCCGGCAGACTACCCAACGGACAAAACATGGATGAGCTGGTTGAGAAGATGGAGAACCTGCGCGAGACAATTGGAGAAGTCAATGGCCAGTTCAAGGACGCCGACCTCACCACCTTTGTGTGTGTCTGCATCCCCGAGTTCTTGAGTCTGTACGAGACGGAGAGGATGATCCAGGAGCTCAACAGCTACGAAATCGACACGCACTCCATTGTCGTCAACCAGCTGCTGTTCCCCAAGGAGGATAACCCCTGCGAGCAGTGCAATGCGCGACGGAAGATGCAGAAGAAGTACCTCGACCAGATTGAAGAGCTCTACGACGAGTTCAACGTGGTCAAGATGCCGCTGTTAGTCGAGGAGGTGCGCGGCAAGGAGAAGCTCGAGAAGTGGGTATTGCACACCGACTCAGGCTACCGTGTACTAACAGCGATTCCAGATTCAGTGAGATGCTCGTCAAACCCTTCGTCCCACCGCAGTAGGCCCGTGCCGTTCTCAAACGCGGTAGCAAGTAGCCTAGATTTGAGAGCCTCAACCCCTTTGGTACCGCTTTGGGCCTCACGGTACATTTCTCTTTTGCCGATTTCTCGCCGTCTCACCCTTGTACATCTTGCGATACCATGTGGTTCTGCGATTTCGCGTATTTCGCTTTCTTCCCCACACATCACGACTCAAGCAGCACGGAGTTCTGTACCTTTAGCGACTAGCCCCGATCTATCGCAGCCGGTGGAAATGAAAGATTCTGCCAAAAGCAGGAAAAAATTTGAAAGCCTCGTTCTCCATATGCGTAACATGCCCGTGGACAGCTGACTTGAAATGCTGCACGCGACTGGGAGGATTCGGAGATATACGTTAGCCGCTGAGCCAGGAACGCCAGTGCCTGGGGTGCATTCAGCCCACCAACACATTTATTGGGACTGTTTGCGCACCCCGCATAAGTACCGTGCACTAGCCCAATAGGGTGCTGACACCGACGTTTCTTGCTTCTACACCACCACATGAGTTCGGGGTACAAACAGCTTCTGGTCTGCTCCGTGATGTTGTTGTTTAGGTACCTTCCTGTCCTCGTTAGCGAAAGCCACGAGGCGCTTCTAAATTGACTACGTCATGCTCTTACCCCGCAACATTCAGCACCACCAAATGAGCACTCTACCTCCATCACGACAAATTCCCGTTTGTCGCGTGCAGGCAAATCATGCGCATACCGGCTTAACAAGCACCGCAGTCGCACATGCTGAGAATGCGCTGACAGTAGAGCGGCAGTGCAACAAGCAAGCATAATGCACACTCCATCCATGACCAGAAGAAGCCATCTCCCTTTCCAATACTTCACGCTCTATCGCTGATGTCAGGCTATTATACCTCGGTATTTACATTCATTGGCTGTCACAACACGCTGTTACTTGTGGCTGAATACCGGTAAACGCCTTCTTTCATGCATGCTGCATGCGGTAGTGTGCGGGATCATGCGTTCGTTTCGTCGCGTGCACACAAAAGCGCCGAACTGAACAACGTCGACTAATCGGTTTGGAAAGGGAAGCGACACGAATGAAGTAGGTGGGTCTGGTAGTATGTGTAGTTCTACCGATAAAGCCGACGACGAACTGCGACATCTGCGACACTTGAGGTTACGCCGATCTCGAGGCTGAGTCTTCCGGCAACTATGGGGCTGAGCACTGAGCTTTCCGGCATCTCCAACAACCGCATTCCAATTCCACCATCGAGGTTTCTGTGGCGTACATCCAGCCCAGCGGCGAAATGTCTAATCTTAGGATAGCCACGTTGGGCACAGACATCCCCTGGACAAGCGCCAGAACAAGCGTCATCTCACCCCGGCACCCGTAGCTCTGGTGTGGGTGCCGATCACCAGAATGGTCCGGGATGGTCCCACTACCTGGTCCATTTACTTTGACCGCCGGGGATACTCAGCGGCAGAGCTTGGAAGGACCTGGTGTGCTGAGGTTAGTCAAGATGGCGTCGGTAAGTATATAGTTCGTCGCGTTTCACGCGAGTGGTGAGTTTGTAGTCAGGTTGCTGTGTGGTGTATCCTCTCACTTTGTGCTTATATCGGGTCATTTGTCTTGTCGTCGGTACATTTTTGTTGTATATTGACATCGACTTGATCACTTTGACACACCCGTCAATCAACATGGCACCTTCCGTCCTCCTTCTAGGAGCCTTACTCCTCGGTGCAGTTCACTCTGTCACCGCAGCTCCCGTCGAAATCGAAGGCAGAGGTACATTCACCTTCCCCCCAACCCATCTTCACCAAACACCCCCACTAACCCACCCACCAACAGCGGTATCCCCAACCCTCCTCTCGCAACTCGAATTCTACTCCCAATACTCCGCCGCCGCCTACTGCCTCGGCAACAACAACAGCCCCAACACAAAAGTCACATGCCCCCAAGGAAACTGCCCCCTCATCGAAGCCGCCACCACAAACACCCTCTCCGAATTCGAAAACAGCATAAAATCCGACGTAACCGGTTTCGTCGCCACAGATTCCACAAACAAACTCATCGTCATCTCCTTCCGCGGCTCCCGCAGCGTGCGTAACTGGATCACAAACGTCGCCTTCCCAGTTCTACCAACCACCATCTGCCCAACCTGCAACGCCTCAACCGGGTTCTGGAATTCCTGGCTCGAAGCACAGAAACCCGTGCTAGCAGCGCTGGCCACAGCAAGAAAGCAGTATCCTACCTACCGCATCGTAGCAACAGGCCATTCCCTCGGTGGCGCACTGGCGAGTCTCGCAGCAGGCTACCTTCGATCCACCGGCACGACCGTCGATTTATACACGTACGGCGCGCCGAAGATCGGGCTGGCGGGCGTGAGCGACTACATTACTAAAACGGGCATGGGCGAGACGTATCGTGTTACGCATAAGAATGATCCGGTGCCTAAGTTGCCGCCGGCGCTGTTGGGGTATAGGCATATTAGTCCTGAGTATTACGTTACTAGTGGGAATGATGTGCAGCCGACGGCGGGGGATGTGAATATGCTTACCGGAAACTTGAACTTGAAGGGTAACGAGGGAGACTTTGGCGTGGATGTGGACGCGCATTTGTGGTATTTTGGGGAGATTAGTAAGTGTGAGGGCAGTCAGGGGATTGAGATTAAGGTGTAGATGATGAGGGTTATGATGGTTATGAGTATCTTTTTTAATGTATATATTGCACTTTTGACACGCTTGCGCTAAGGATTGGTGATTGGTGACGGGACCGATACCTTTCGACCTGGTGAAGGAAATGCATGAACGGTATGAACTCAGAACATAGTATGAACACCTCGATTCACCTTGTACAATTACAAATGCAACACGCAAACACCCACCCATACCGTCGTGGACGGATCAAAGCTCAACATACCCGTACCGAGGATGTAGTGCGCTAAAACACGCTGGCCGATCTTTATAACGCCAGAACACCGCAACATGCTTCCCTTCGACACTGACGCATCAGAAACACTACTTCTTCTTGCCCTTGCCCTTGCCCTTGCCCTTGGTCGCCGAACCCTTAGTCGCCGAGCCATTTGTCGCAACGCTGCTTGCACGAGATGGTGTCGCCGATGCCGATCCGGCCTTGCCCTTGACAGTGTCGAGCTGCTTGTTCTGCCATCTGTTAGTATACGCCATCATTCACAGGTCAGAACTTAACATACCTTGACACCATTCTTAGACTTCTTCTTCGGCTGCTCCTCTTCCTCCTCCTCCGTCTCCTCTTCCTCATACCCGCGCTTGCCATTCTTGTTCTTGAGATCGCCCTCGCCGAGCTCGCGCACGATAGCTGAGATGAGCGTGGTGCAGCGACGGCCAATCTCCTGCGGTGTACGCGAGAGGAAGAACCAGTCGAAGCGGAAGAGGGGCGATTCGCGGATCTCGTCGCGGATCTTCTCGTAGATGTACTCGCCTTCGACGCCGTGCTTGTGCAGCATGACGACCAGGAACTTGTCTTCCTCCTCGGTGTACACCTTCTTGTTGGTGGTGGAGACGGTGTACTTGATCTGCATCTGCTGGAGGGGCATGCGGTACATGCCAATCTTCTTGGCGATGAGGCGCTTCTTTTCTTCCGACTGTCGCACACGGAGCTCGCCCTCTTCGATGACACCCAGGTGCTTTTGCCAGTTGTCCAGCGACTTGTACTTCTTCCAAAAGACCTTGGCGTAAGCTTTGATCTCGTCGGCGTCTTTGCCGTCGACCTCCTCCGAGATGCCCTCGTAGTTCTGACGACCGTATTTAGCACTACCGTTGAGGAACTGCTGGAAGTCACGCTTGTTCCATTCAGGGAAGCCCTCTTCGATCAGGCGTTCTTTCTCAGCCTTCTCCTCTTCTGTCAGTGGTTCCGCATCATCAATCTCCTGCTGCGCAAGTTGTTGATCGGCCTCACGGGCCTCGAGATCCTCGTCCGGACCTTCTGGGAGAGGGGCTTTGAGGTTGTTCTCCTTGCGGTACCATGCAGTCTCCTTGTCTTGGAGTTCGGAGAGTCGCTTGGGGAAGAACTGGTAGTCGTGGATGGTAATCTGCTTGGGCGCGCGGGGTATTCTGGGTTGCTTGTTCTCTGTTCGTCCACCAGTGACCAGCGTCTTGCGGTAGTACGAATCAATGCCGTAGTTTTGTTCCTTGCGCTCACGCTTCGAGGGGTTGATCCAGGAGATGCCGATTTCCTTCTTTCGTGGTTGGAAGGTCTCGCCATTCCACTCGTAGGTTGAGTCGGAAGTGAACTTCTGGAGATCGTCAAGACCGAGCGTCTCGTACCTCTTGTTGAGCTTCTCCGTCATCTCTTCACCACGACGCATGACAGCCTCGAAGTCGTCATCAGCAAGCTCGCCATCAGCTGCTGGACCGACGGGGCCCTTGCTTGCAAACACCTTCTCGGCGCCGTGCTGGATCATGGTCAGGAGCTCGTCCTTGGATGCGGCGTTCTTGACGGGTTGTTGCGAGCGGCCTTGCTGAATGACTAGCTGGTCGAGACGCAGCTTCTGGGCCGCACGTTCGAGCACCTTCTCTTCAATGGCCATCTCGGTGACGAATCGGAAAACGTAGACCTGCTTGGTCTGGCCAATACGATGGGCACGGTCCATGGCTTGCAGATCGGCCTGCGGGTTCCAGTCACTGTCGAAGAGGACGACGATATCAGCAGACGTCAAGTTGATACCAAGTCCACCAGCACGGGTAGTCAGGAGGAACAGGAACTTCTCCGACCCCTCCTTATTGTAGTCGTCGATAGCCTGGATACGGTCCTCGTGGGCGGTCGAACCGTCGATACGGCAGTACTTGTAATCGCGCATGACTGAGTAGTCCTCCATGATGTCTAGCACACGACTCATCTGCGAGAAGATGAGCACCCGACTGCCCTGAGCCTTCATACGTTTCAGCAGCTTGTCCAGCATGACCATCTTCGCAGCGTTGGTGACGAGATGTTCATCGGTAGTGTATGGCGGACCAGGCTCGGCGCCTTCGAAAAGGTATGGATGGTTGCAGCACTTGCGCAGCTGCATGACGATGTTGAGCAGACGGGTCTTAGACTCCTTGTTGCCGGCACCGCCATTAACCGCGTCGATGTCCTTTTCGAGAATCTTCTTGTACCACTGAACCTGCATGTCGGACATGCCCACGTACAGGTTGATCTCCTTCTTCGGCAGTAGCGACTTTTCGACATCGGCCTTGACACGTCGCAGCAAGAAGGGTCGGAGGACCTTGTGGAGTTGTTGGACGACGGCGTCCGAGTCGGCGTTCTGGGATGTGAACCAGTCGTCGAACGCGGCGGAGTCTCCGAAGACGTCGGGGAGGAGGAAGTTGAGCAGGGCCCAGAGCTCGTGGAGGTTGTTTTGGAGAGGGGTACCTGTGATTAGCAGACGGCTTCGGGAATTGAAGACGCGGACCATCTGGGCAAGCGACGATTCCTCGTTCTTGATGCGGTGGGCTTCGTCAATGATGATGTACTCCCACGCGAACTTCTTCAGATGCGACTTCTCGCGTAGAATCATCTCGTAGGAGGTGATGCAGACATCGAAGCCATCGGGCACCAGGCGCTCCTTGATGAGGTCGGCACGGTCGTCCTTGTTACCCTGGAGGACCAGGACGTTGACGTCGGGGCACCACTTGGCGAACTCGCGCTTCCAGTTGTCGAGTGTCGACTTGGGCACTGCGACCAGGTGGGGACCGTGAATGCCGGCAATGTAGCGGAGGTAGCCGATGAAGGAGATGGTCTGCAGCGTCTTTCCGAGACCCATCTCGTCGGCGAGGATCCCAGAGATACCGTTCTCATGGAGTGAGATAAGCCAGTTGAGACCAGCAACTTGGTAGTCGCGCATGGTGCCGCCTTTGATGAAGCCCGGTGATTCCCTAAAGACCGTCTCGTTGTGTCCGCCATGTTTCTCCTCGCGCACCAGCTCCGCGTCCTCCTCCTGCTCGGTCTTCCGGCGACGCTCCGCAGCGGCACCTCCTTTCCGCACCTTGCTGGCCTTTGATTTCTTGGTCTCTTCGGCATCCTGGCGGTCGATCTCGGCGAGAATCTCCTTGATGCGCGGGTTGGGGTTCGTGTCGATGAAGTGGCGGAACAGGTCCGTCAGACCGAGCAGGTATCGAAAGCGGCGGATGGTGTCATCTTCCTGTGAGGGGAGCCAAGTTAGCAATGTCTCGGAATGTACTGCGGATTGATGTCGCGTACCTTTGACGCCCTCAGACCCTCCGCCTTCTTGCCGTACATGCTTTTCCGCATGTTCATCTCTTCGGCACGTTTTCTTCGTCCGTCGACTGGCGCGTCACCTGCGACGCTGTTTGCTGTGGTGTTGGGGTTGGTATCCGAGTCCTGTGCGCGTGTCAGTTGCTGGGCCGGGTGAGTGTGACGCGGTGTCGGAGTCATCGTACTGTGTAGTCTGGGGTATCCACATTGTACTGCGTCTGGAATGTTAGCCAATGTCTTCTCGATGTCGCGCCTTCCTCCCGCCTGACATGTGAGTGTCGCGGCGAGGAAGGCGCAAACGGGGGTTGCGCTTACGCCAAACTTCTTGAAGCCGTTCATTGTGTCGTCCGGCTGGTCCTGCATCTCGACATCGGAATGCGCTGACGCCTCATCCGAGGATGGCTCCTCCTTCTTCGCAGCGCTCTTCCGCGGCATGTTGCCTGTTTGGGCTGTTCGCCGCGTGTAGTTGTGTTGGCGTCACGGTCGCAATGGCGCAGTGAATGGTAGAACGTCTGTCGATGTTTCGGGGTGTTGAGTGTGATGACGTGGACGCGTTGGGACGTGTTCGTGGCGGCTGAGGTTTGCGCGATGTATGTGAGGATGGCTTGAGAATAACTGTGGACGACCCTTGGCGCGTCAGGTCGGCGGCGCGCTATGCTCGTTGCGGACGTGCGCACTACCCCATGCCTGCATCTCTAAGCCCACCAACTTCCATTCGCTCAGCGATTCGACATCTACGCGTTCCCGACTACGAACATTAATCCATTTGAAACTTGATGCCACAGAAGGGAGGAAATGAGAGGGACGCGATTTGCGACGCGATATCGAACATGACGTCAGATAGTTGTCTCCATCACCGGTGCCCTATACAGTCAATTCAGGAGTGCGACGTTGCCTGCTGGCATAGCTTGCTTGAGCCATAGCATACTGGAGCTACAATACGACATTTTTTTTCCATTGTTTCGACCACTTCTTCTAGCCTATGATCCTACATCTGGACTGCTCGCCAAAGTTTCCTCTTAGGACAACGGTTATGTACTGAACTGGTTCTTCGTCGTTAAGCTTTCGAGCTGAGTAGGCTACCTCCAGCAATGAAATGTGTCATAGCCGATATGAAGCATCCATCAAAAGTCCTGGGTCTATGATATCCTATCGGCATCCCATCGGCATCCCATCGGCATGGTTGAGAAACTGGGTTGCAAAATTACCAAGGCATTGGGAGCCGTAGAGTGGGATAATAACGCATCGTAAGTCGGCAACATGAGAAGCGAAAGACTGCAGCAACTCTTGAGATTGTTAAGCATGCATGATCAGTCAGCGATACTTCTCCACCACTGACGTCACTGTAACCAAGACAATCATCGCATAAGTAGAAGTTCCTGGCGTTGTTGTCAACGACACCTCTCAAATCACGTGCCCGATCGTTCCATCCATTTCCCAAACATGCCCGCCGCATCCATCACCATAATCTTCTCACCCTACCACGTCGGCCTCCGCAACCACCGCGTCGGCGACGGCCCAAACCGAATACGAGCTCTCGGACTCATTCCCCAACTTGAATCCCTAGGCATCACCGTCCACATCGACGAAATCACTCCCGTCGACGACTTCGAAGGCGAGATAGGCCGAAGTTTCGAAGTCCTCCGCCGCACCTCCCTAGCAGTTAGCAAAGCGCGAGATGGCAATTCCTTCCCCTTTATCCTCTCTGGCAACTGCATGGCTAGCGTAGGCGCAGCATGCGGGTTGGGTATCAAGGATCTTAATTTCATCTACTTTGATGCGCACGACGATATGGATACGCCTTCGACGAACGAGAATGGGTATTTCGATGCCATGGGCTTGTCGATGTTGGCGGGTAGGAGCTGGCATTGGCATACGGAGCAGATACCGGGGTACACGCCGATGAGCTACAAGGATAGGTTCTTGTATGTCGGCTTGCGCGATGTGAATGAGACGCAGAGGAAGACGGTTGCGGAAGCTGGAGCGGATGTTATTTGGGGTGATGCTGGGAAGGCTGTGGATTTCCCGGGCGAGTTGGAGAAGAGACTTGACAAGAGGGATATGTCGCCGTCGCTTGTGCATCTCGACTTGGATGTTCTGGATAAGAGTGTGGGTATGGTCAATGGGTTTGAGAGTGAGGGTGGGCTACAGGAAGAGGATGTCGTCAGGTGCATGAGTTTGCTGCCGAGGAAGGCCACGCCGACATCGTTTACCATGTGCTCTTTCAACCCAAATCTGGGTGATGGGGATAAGATTGCGGGTATAGGTATACGCGCTGCTGTAGCATTCGTAGAGGCGTTGATTGCGACATCAGTGCTATCTGTGCAACGATAGCGAATGCGATCAAGAAGAATGTATCAGGCTTGCAACAATGAGATCGATCACGGTTCTAGAGATGTAGCTACCACTGATTAAAAGCAGTCGACAGCTCCCAGAACCATGGGCCTGGGGAGTCCCGGGAGCGCCTTCCCGCCAAGCCGCGCGACCCCAAATCGCCCCGCCCACCTCCAAAAACCCTCCCTCCCGTTATCTATAGCGACGATCGCGATGGAACGCATTTTTACGCGTTTCGATTCCAGCGCGACACTGGGACCTCACCCCGCGAGTTTTTCTTTGCACAACCCACGCGCTGTGCGCGCAGCGCCGCAGCCTCGCCTACACATCTCATGCCGAACGGTGGATGCGCGACGCCCACCTGCGATACAGAATGAATAGAGTGCGCCTTTGACTAAGACTGCGGTCTGGTTCTTTGGGCAGGCCATTGAGATGGTACTTTGGTATACGATATGATTGCGATAGCTTTGATGCACGCCCACCTGCCCAGGCAACAGCGAGATTGTCCGCCCATTGGCCCTTCATCTGTAGCCCGCCCTCTTGTATGCAGTGCAGACGCCATGCATAGCGGCGTCACGCATGACCTCACAGCTGAGTGCTTCGAGCGACCAGTCTTACCGGTGAGCGTTGGGGCATACATAGCCCCGCTCCTGGGTAATGCTCGTCCACGTCAAGTCCTCCCGCAGCACCTTTTCGCGGCTCTGTGTGCACTGCGACAAAGTTCACTCATCTGTTCTTAACACGTTGTTACTGAGTGCGCCCGCAAACAGCACCATCCTATACACACGAGCGTCGGCAGACGTGACTGGGTCATCTCATCTACGTCAGCCTAACAGCGGAGACAAGACCAAACATCCAAATGCACCTCATCAACTGCACAACACTAGAGCTGGAAGAGTTCTTCGGCAATAGTATCCCGCGCTACGCCATTCTCTCGCATACCTGGGGCGATGAAGAGGTGTCATTCGCCGACTTCACCTCGGGTCAGCCTATGATCCGATCTGGCTACCAAAAGATTATTTTCACTTGCAAGCAGGCCATGATAGATGGAATCGACTACGCGTGGATAGACACCTGTTGTATTGACAAAAGTTCTAGCGCGGAGCTCTCCGAGGCAATTAACTCTATGTTCGCCTGGTATCAGATGTCAGTTCGCTGTTATGCGTATCTTTCTGATGTCTTGGCAGCCAACATGGACCAGGATTTCCCTAAGAGTAGATGGTTCACACGGGGTTGGACCCTCCAGGAATTGTTGGCGCCAAAAACGGTTATCTTCTACGATCAACTATGGGTTGACTTGGGCGATCGGGAAGAGCACGCCGAGCAGATATCGAAAGTCACAGGTATAGACGGGGCCGCTTTGATTGAAGGCTGGTGGAGGGCCTCGGGCCGGAAAAAGGAGGACAAATTCGGTTGCTATTGCGTCGCGACGAGGATGTCATGGGCCTCCACGAGGCAGACGACACGTGCGGAGGACATGGCCTACTGCCTCCTCGGGATCTTCAACATCAATATGCCGCTTTTGTATGGAGAAGGTGACCGGGCGTTTCGTCGTCTTCAAGAGGAGATTATCCGGAATATCGACGATGATTCCATCCTCGCCTGGGCTCTATCGCCAGAGGACGACGATCCCAGTGCCCTAGGACTTCTATCAGATGGCGCCAGGGAACATCTTTGCCATACAAAAAGCGTCGACTTTTTGGCTCACTCACCAAAAGACTTCAAAGACTGTGCCGGCTTGTCTTGCGCTACGGAATCATTGACTCTTTTCACATTGACCAATACGGGCCTACAGATCCAATTACCTATTGTGCGGGTCTTTGAATGCAGCGAGTATTACTGTCGCAGGGTTGGAGCTTCAGCCCATGTATGGATTGGGCTACTTGGTTGCTCGAGAGCGTCAAACGGGAACTTTTTAGGTATTCTGCTCTGGCCGTACGGAGACCCGGTCGATTCCAGCGTGAAGGTGGTTCGTCAAAGGGAATGTTACAGTACTGTCATTGTTGGTCCAAGGGTCGCTTTCGGTTCAGTCAGTGAAACATTGACAATTGCTGGAGTGAACGGGTTCAAAGAATCACTACACTACTGGCGCGGGCGAGATAGGCGGATTATCGTCAACGAATGCGAGGCCATCCGGAGTCTTGGTTATCAACTCCAGGCTTTTAGTGCATGGACGTTTGTTCAAGGAGAACCACCACTGGCTTACCATCCGCTTTGGGACCCAGAAGCCAAGGTTCTTACCATAAGACGAGATGATCCGTTTCACAGGATGTTCGAATTCAACTTCGAAACATCGTCGAGTGGTCCAAATCCCAAGTTCACTGTCTTCATAAAACAGGAAAACAGGGGTACAGTAAGACAAGGAGACGTCTTTTCAGAAGATGAAAGGCTCGCTGTATACTACGATCTTCTCAAGGATAACGACGATCAGCCTCATGGCAAGGATTGGGCTTATGACAAGGGTGATGTTTTGGTCCATGACGACAAACAACGCCGGTTCCACATTAGATTTGAGGCTCACACCCAGGTTATTGGCCATCACGAGCTGATCCGGATTAATGTTGATGCTTTAGAAGATGGCTTTTCGGGTGAGGAATATTATTGGACTTGTAGCTGCGAGGAGCGTGAACATGCGCATTGATCTATACACATTGATCTATACTCGGTTTTCATTCTCGTTGGCTGTACGTCGTGTTGTACAAAGGCTATACATGCATGTATGTCTTCACCTTGTCCTGTGGGATAAGTCACCTTCGCATGAGTCAAACATAAAAACTAAGACAGCCCACAACCCCGACCGTACGTGGCTGTGGGTGGATACGAAGCCTGGCACCGGGCACCGACATGTCATGACCATCCTTTGAGACAGTCGAGCAGTATGAAATATTCGCATCACTGTGAATTTTACCAATCTTCGGCCATGGGCTGAAGTCGCCAAGCAGCCGGGAATCTACATCCGCGATGGCGCGCCAGCGAATACACATCACGTGCGCGCGGGTTTGATGCGCGACCTCGGGAGTCTAAGGCACGCGCGGGATGGGACCTCGATTGCCTACGAACACAAAAAGCGAGATACTGGATTGCATTGCATTCTCGTGAGTGTACCTCCAGACAAATCCGCGCAACCGCCTATCCTCCCAAGTGGGCCCACGTCATCGGCGCATTCCTCGGCGCGTTCGCTAACCACGTTTGCCCCACCCGGAAAGCCGCATCTCCACTCTTCACCTCCAAACCACGCGATAAGAGCCGTTGGCACTGCCAGCGCGCGGTAGCTTCGGAAAGCTATCAGCGCCCCGCCCGCCTTCCTGTTTACGATGCTCAAGACCCCCTTTACGTATTTGTGTAGTGTGCATAAGGCGTAGCGGGTGATGCTGGCCAGTCAGGTGGAAGGGCCGAGTGCTTATCAGGAAGATGGCGGTTTTGATGATTGTTGATCCTGGTAGCATCGCAGACACGGACTTGTCGCCTCGTTGGAGGGAAGATGGGTTAGGGAATGGATCGGGATCATGACTCTGTGCCAATGGAAGTTACGTCTTGGAGATCAATCGTTTCGGTAAAGCAAGAAGTGCCGCCGACGTATAAAGCTCGCAGGCCTGCAGCTGTATGGAGCTTCATCACGGACTTTCGCCAGACCCCGGTTTGGACTTTTCGTGGACAAGATGCGCTTCTCTCGGTCGATCGGCGTCGCGTCTTTCGTCGTTGCCGGTGTGCGGGCTGCGGTGTCTTCCACTGGATTCACGGTGTCCTTGACCGACATCGACTACTTCCTGCCGCCAAAACCAGTCGCGAAGATCTCGAGTTGCGAAGAGATTCAGGCCTCGTTCGAAGATGCTGCGGTTGTGCCGTTCACAGTAGTGAAGTCTCAGGACGGTGGTTTGGATGTCGCGTCGCTCACAGCAAGTTACGCGCATGATGATGTATGGCAAGATGGTTTCATGGACGGTATGTACCCAACTTCACGCTCTTGAGACCCTCGCTGATCATATCTTCCAGCCATTTTTGTCCAGGGTAGCGATTCCAAACCAACAAACTCTTCGTTGACCATACTGTCCGGCACCGCATCCAAGGAACTAGCTCCGGGGCCCTACTTCATCAACGCAGCTGGCCATGTCTACGAGGCATGGAGACTGTTCTCCGATATGCAAGGCGCTTTCACCGAGTCTGCGATCGCGAATGGCGATGGTTCCTACTCGGTCTTGCCCGCGGGTACCGTGGGCCAGAAGCATGCCATCGCCGTGCCTTCGCGGCTGTACTTCACCAAGACGGCCGAGAAGCCTTTGGCTGGTGTAAGAATTGGTATCAAAGACATCTACGGTATGAAGATATCTTAGCATTGCATAGGGCATGGTATTTTAGCATGGACTGACAATACCCTTAGATATCAAGGGCCTGCGAACATCCAACGGAAACCGAGCTTGGTACTGGCTATACCCTCCTGCCAACGCGACTGCTCCGCCCGTTCAGAACCTGATCGACGCGGGAGCGATCATCGTCGGCAAGATGATCACCTCTCAATTCGCCAACGGGGAGACCGCAACGGCTGACTGGGTGGACTACCACGAGGCATTCAACCCCCGTGGAGACGGCTACCAAGACACCTCCTCCAGTTCCTCTGGCGGCGGCGCAGGTACCGCATCCTACTCCTGGCTCGATGTCAGTCTCGGATCCGACACCGGCGGCAGTGTGCGCGGCCCGTCCCAAGTCCAAGGTCTCTACGGCAACCGTCCATCTCACGGACTCGTCTCTCTAGATCACACCATGCCGCTCAGTCCCGTGCTCGACACCCCCGGCTTATTGGCGCGCAACCCACAAATCTGGATGGAAGCAGCCCAAGCCATGTACGGCCCCAACATCACCATCACAAGCAGCTACCCAACGAGCATCCAAACCCTCGGCTGGCCCACCGAAGTCGAAGACGTCGCCGACCAACTCCTCGTCGACTTCCTCGGAAACGTGACCGATTTCCTGAGCGCAAACGCCACCGCGTTCAACGTCACAGCCTCTTTCGACGCAGCGAACCCAGATGTCGCACCTCTTACAGTCTTACAGAACCTCACCTACGCTATCCTGATCACCAAGCAGCAAATCGAGCTCGTCCGCGAACCCTTCTACGCCGACTACGCCGAAGTCCAAGACGGCCGCCTTCCATTCGTTAACCCCGTTCCGTTGGCTCGCTGGGGCTGGGGCGACAACCAAACCATCACCGTCGACGAGGCTGTTAACAACAAAACCATCTTCCAGACCTGGGCTAATGAGACCTTCCTCGCTCCCTCTCCCGAAACCTGCTCTGAGTCCCTAGTCATGTACGTCGGCTCCACCGGTGGCACCACCTACCGCAACACGTACTGGGACGAGCCCGGTGTGCCTTTTGGTTTTGGCAACAGCCGCATCTCGGTTATGGCGGAGGTGCCGGATTATGTTGTGCCGTTGGGTGAGGCGCCGTATAACTCGACGATTACGGGACACGTGGAGTATTTGCCTGTTACGGCGAATTTGATGGCGGCGAAGGGGTGTGATGGCATGTTGTTCTCGCTTATAAATGGGTTGTATGAGGCGGGTATCTTGAAGGAGAGTAAGGTTGGACAGAGTGGGGTCACTGGTGGGGAGATTTTACTGAGGAGGGATGGGCTGTGGTGAAGAGCTTATATATCAATGGAAGCTCAAGTGCATGATAATATCAACCTTGCGTCCGATACATGTGTGCGTCAATCCGGATCGCTAACTTCATAAGGCTGTCATCCAGTCAAACTCCCAATCCTCCTTCGCCTCCTCTCCATCAAACCTGAAACCTCCACCTCGGATGCCGATCCCCCATCTTAACATCCTCCACACTATCATGAAACCCGCCCGTCTGCGGCCTCTCCACAAGCACCCTCTCTTTCTCCGCATTCTCCCTCTTCAACAACACCCACAACACCCCCACAACCACTAGATTCAAACACAAATACCCCAGCGCAAAGCTATGCCCAAGCACATACCTCGGCCCCGAATTCGCGCGATACAACTGCGTCCCCAGCACAGCCCCCAGATTCCCAATGCTAATCTGCATGGCATTCGCCGTTGCGCGCTTGGTCTGCCCACTGACGTTGATGGCGGGCCAGCAGAGGACTAGGGCGACGGAAGGGTAGATGCCGATGGCTGCGAAGAAGGTTCCCACGTAAGATACGCCTGGGCGTGCTTTGGGATCGGTGTTGGCGAGCAGGATTATGTACCCAATGATTGCGACGGTGGAGGTGGTGAGGATGAAGAGGGCGCGGCGGGCGTAGCGCTCGGAGAGTATGGCCCAGAAGATTGTGAAGAGAGTTGCGACGGCGTAGGGGGGGATGGTGAGGAGCTGGGATTGGGCGGATGTGTAGCCCATGTCGCGGATGATTGTTGGCTTGGGTGGTGTTAGAGTGGTGTGTGTGTTTTGTGGGTTGGTTGGCTTACTAGGAAGAGGGATAGAGTGTATAGGGGTAGACTCATGGTGTGGAAGGCAAAGGCGTAGAGCCAGATCTTGATGTCTTTTGCCGCGAGCAGCACCTCCGCCCAGGAGAACGCTTCGTCGTTTGTTGCGTCGCTGTCGGCTTTGAGACGAGCTTGCACGAACGCTCTTTCTTCTTTGCTGAGCCAGCTGACGGTGGCGGGGTAGTTTGAGATGAACCAGTACGCGATGATTCCGATGATGATGGTGAGCAAACCTTCCTATGTTGCTGTTAGTGACGAACTCATGAGCAGGTTGGCGAGCGTACCAAGATGAAGATCCATCGCCACCCAGCGTAGCCTCCTACATTACGCATATGCGCAATGCCATATGCCAGGATCTGGAACCGTCAGTACTGCAGATTGCATATATATGAGGGTTGGCATACACCACCAAAAGCCCCAGCAAGCGAAGCGCAGCTAAAGAACAGCGAAATGCGATACTGGCGCTCATTGCGCTTATACCACATACTCAAATAATACACCACACCAGGAAACAGTCCCGACTCGGCCATTCCCAGACTACAACTCATTAGTCTATCTCACACGACCGTTTTCTCCAGACAACTCACAAAAACCGCACCGCAAAAAAGCCAGACAGGTTCTGCGTAACGCCCATCAGCGTCGCCACAACACCCCACACCACCGTCAGCGTAGGCAACCAGAACTTCGGCGTCGTGCGTTTGAGGACGATGTTGCAGGGTATTTCGAAGAGGACGTAGCCGATGAAGTAGAGGGTTAGGCCGGTGAGGTATTGGTTGCCTGTCATGCCTAGGTCGGTTGTAAGGCCTTCGATACGTGCGTTTGCGACTGGGTCATTTGTTAGTACACTTTCATCAGCGGTGGGAATGGAGAAGTCTATACCATTGCTGCGATCAAGAAAGCTGAGCAGATACAAGATTGACACCGCGGGCAGGAGTCTCAGATCCAACGTTCTGAGTAATTTCTTTTCGTTGATGGTGCCCGGGACGATTTCCACATCGCTCGCGGAAGAGGTCGATGCAGCGGGTGCATCGTTCTTCTCCGAAGCCATCGTCACGTTCGCGCAAACTTTGAGACGGAAGTATCGAAACGCGAGATATCCCTCAAACAACGCCCGGGCACGAAGCTCTTCTTATCAACCCACTACCGTCGCATTCCTCGTAGCTTCGAATGATGCAAGAACGTGGGTCAATCAGCTCAAGCCGCGGCAGCGTAATAACCCAGGTCGGCCGGGCAAACCTCAGGCATGACCGCAAACGCTCATTGGAGCGCATCGCCAACCGCGTCGAATGCGAGATGCGCACAACTCTGACAGGACAAGCGTTATCGGCTCTACCGCACGGCATGGCGGGCGTGTTGCAAGGGCTTATGAGTTGGGGTTGTACACGAAATCGAGAGGTGGTATGTCGTGATTGCACTAGCCGCTTGGGGTATAGACCCGGGTGGACCACGTTGTTATTCGATGGAGACGACGGGTGTTTGATGAGTGAACAGGTGGTCGATGTTTGATTTGATGGGTTTTTGTCTGAGGAGGTTGCGTTCATCGGTGTTTAGATCAGCAGGATCGTGGGTTGACGTGGGGAAGTTTTGATGAGTGTTGTGGTTTGAATGCGGGATATGCGTTTGTGACGATACATGGCAGGAGGCTCGCTCGGATGGACAGAATACGCTAATCGCTCAACGATCGGCACAGAACTACCGTTTCCCTTTTCCTCCAATAATCCCAATCCCTCTAATAAAGAAAACAACAACAGCCGTAGACGCAACACTCATACCAAAGTTAAACCAAGCCGTCGTCCTAATGCCCACCTTGAGCGCATCATCCCAAGGCACCGTCTTATGTCCTTCACCACCAATCTCATCAACACTCAACCCCTTCTCCCTAGCCACAACAGCAGTCTGAACCGCCGTCGCAATCGCCAGCCCAACCGCCCTCCCAATCTGACCCACAGCCGTAATAAGCGCCCCTCCCAGCGAAGCATCCTCCGCCGGCAGCGTCTTCGCCACAAACAACGTGAGAACAGGGAAGATGGTATCCGCACCCGAGACACACAGTACCATAGCCGGGAAGCCATACGCCCAATACGTTGTATGCACCGGAATGGGGATTGCGAAAAGTAAGGAGGATATACTCACGCAGATAGTGCTAAAAGTAAGTATATAATCGCCCGGCACACGAGACAGAATCTGCCCCGTAATTGTAGCCACCAGAATCCCCGTGATACCATTGGGTAGGAAGCGCAGCGTGGTTTGGATAACGGAAAGGCCTTGGTAGTCCTGGAACCAGTAGGTGGCGAAGATGAGGTAGTTGTTGAAGGACGAGAAGAACAGCGCCATGAGCACATTGGCAGCGGTGAATTTGCCGTTTTTGAAGATGCTCATTTTCATCAACGGTCGTCGCTCTGTCTTGTGCTCGAGGTAATGCTGCCAGAAGCCGAATGCGCCGATGATGATTAGTGAGAGCACGATGAGGACGGGTACCCACGGCGTACTCCAGCCCACGACGTTGCCTTCGGATAGCGCGAATACGAGGATAATGAGACCGATGGTGATGAGCGATCCGCCGATCCAATCCACCGTATTACGCAACACGGGTTCGGGTGTCAACGGCGGAATTGGGATAACGAAGTAGCTCGCAACCGTAGAAATCCCCGCAATAATCCCAAACAACCAAAACACCCACTGCCAGTCGAGATACTCGCCCACGACACCACCGAAGATGTTGCCCAGCACGCCACCGAGTGGAGCTCCAGCACCGAAACATCCAAAAGCGATGTCTTTGGTCTTTCCGGGTGGGAAGGTAGAAGCGAGGATGCCGAGAGCGGTTGGTGCCATGGCGGCGGCTGCGAGACCCTGGAGGCCGCGGAAGATGTCGAAGCCGATTTCATTGGGGATGAAGGGCGTTATTATTGATGTGAGTGTGAAGGCTGCGGAGCCCCAGAGAAAGATCATTCGTCGGCCGTAGACGTCTGCTAGACGACCCCATAGTAGCTGGGCGGATGTGTTAGGAGAGGGTAGATATAAGAGAGAGATCTGAACGACGTACCAGGAAGCAACCGAATGTGAGGTTGTAAGCGGAGATAATCCACTGCTGACGACTAACTGGAATATCCAATTCTTCCCCAATGGTAGGTAAAATAATGACTGAGGCCTGAACTGCCATGGTCTATCATAAATTAGTCAGTCTCCTTCCTCTCTTCTCCAACAAGATTGGTTGGCATACTCACGCTCAAAAACGGCGCCGCAGCAATCGTCGTAACAAGCGCCACACACCGTGCTTTCGAAAACGGCAAGCGCTCAGACGCCGATGTATCCACAGCCACAAGCCCATTCTCTTTCTCTGCATCATCCGCCGTCTGGTGTGTCGCGGTGACCACGCGTTCCAGATCCGTGACGCCCTCCACAGGCTCGGGGCTCTTCTCTTCGCGCTTCGACATCTTCAGGACGCGCTGCGAAGGGATGCATATGATAGTCGGCTATCTCCGCCATGCTTCCAGTGGGGCAGCGCATCTTTATGAATGTTTGAAGTTTGGGGTAAGAATATGCCGAAGAGCTCGCTTGCCGACCGCCACAAGTGCGCCTTCGCCAGTTCGGCTAAGGATTTATCCGGGGGTGTGCAGGTGGAAAAGGTAGGCACAACATAGCAGCAGGCTCTCGTTGTATGACGACTCTTAGAACGATGCGGAAAAGTAATCCTGATCTGCAAAATACGAACAGAACGACATTCTCGATGGTGGTGATGCAGCGGGGTGATGTATCCTCCACGTTCCACCAATCACAGCAAGCCTGAGATCAGCAGTTACCCGATGCTGATAACCCCCAGTCCCTCGTATCGAACCTCTTTCTCTTCAACGCCCTTAACATGCGCATCACCTAGCAACCTGAAAGTACCACTCTCTCCTTTTCTCCTCAGAACCACTGGATTCGTACACCCAGCAAGAACCGCTACAACGTCCTCCGGCTGCGCGAGGTCCGGGGCAACGAGAAGTCGACAATCGTCCATCATACAGATCGTCCTCGACATCAAGAGGTACTCGAGGAGATCCCAGAAAGGTTCGAAATTCTCAAATCTGTCTTCTCTGGGTAGTAGAGTTGTGTCTGTGGAAGTGCCACCTTACGCTTTTCCTCACGGAATTCGCGAACATGTACCGAGCGAGCAAATTGCGCTCCACCCCACCTCTCCCAAAGGGTCGTCTTTTGGAAGGCGCATAAGAGCATTGTAGAACAGTTCTCCATTCTCGTATTCGCGTTTGAAAACCCACCATCTCCTTCGGCGGCAAATACCAACGGTTGCGTCTGCTGAGGTAGCAGCTTGCGTAGTTTTTTGGTCGATGTCTGGGGAGCAGGCGACGAGATGACCGACTTCTAGGCGAATACTCCGGATAGTACCAATGATGCGACCTTTGATGTTGAGCAAACTAGACCCTTGCGGCATTTCGGCGTCGCCGATGTAGAATGGAACCAGCTGCTCCAGAGTCTGTCCGTTGAGGTGAAACACTCCCGCTCGCTCAGGCTGACTCCAGTCAGGTGCCCAAGACGATTGGTCAAGAAGCCAGATGCTATGTTGTGAGTGCAGAATGATATCAATCGATTTGGTCGCAGCAATGAATGCTCTCACAGCATTGCGGTTGTGCTCCACGATTGGAACTTTATAGCTCGAGCTAAGTGCGTCGCGGAATCTCTTGCTGGTAAGACCAAGTATGGAGAAGGTCCGGTCGTGTGGCTCTCTGCATATTCGTGCTCTGGTAGACCAGAAAGACCAGGAGACATCGTTCACTCGAGAACTGACTTTGTCCGGTGGAATAAGTCTTCTTTGTGATATCGTTCGTCGACAGTAGTCTAGGTTGAGTGCATTGTTGATAGCCTGACGGGGCCAGTCGTCCATGAAAGTAGCGTTCGCTCTCCTCTCACGCTCGACTATGTCGGTATATAACGCGAAAGCAGGATGAATTTTACGTGTGATGAGTAGTGCCATTCTCATATGAGAGAAGCTAACCGTTCCGGCGCCGCATTGAACGATGATCTCGCGGGCCAGCGCCATCTCTTGCACAATCCATGCGCGAAACCACCACGGTCTTGTCAGTAACTTGTGAAAGCTGTCAACTCCCGGAGTTCCTCCAGATTCATCGGAGCAGTCGAGAAATGTTCTAGTGGCCAATCGCGGCTGGCCACCTCGTCCGATATCATCTCTTCTTTGCCAGTCTCGACCGGCGCACAGACCTTGTCGATGTATTGCATGGCCAGGTCGCTTTCGGGCGTTTGATCGCCTAACCAAACAACTACGGCGGTGGCTTGTGCATAGACGCGATACATAAGAGGGATTTGACGCATCTTTTCAGCTTGGTCGTTCTGGTTGATACAGATTGCATCAACCCAGATCGACCGCTGCCGGTCTTTGAGACGGAGATGTCGAAGAATGGATTCCAGGTTCGGCGAAACTTCAAACTCACGCTCGTCCAGTAGGACTATTTTGCTAGGACACTGCGTACCCCAGCAGTAAGACAGAGCCTCGTATGGAGTTCCGCACTGTATAAGGTTAGTGCCATGATTTTGCTGATCTCCAGACACCAGAGTTGTGTAGTTGATTCGAAGCCGCACGGGTGCCTGGAATACGTCCGGTGCGATGTTTATTAGTCTGATCTCTCGCGAACCTAGCGGATGGGTTAGATCATACTGGTAAGGTGGACGCCTGAGAGAAGGCATTGTGATGACACCAAGTGTATGGGAGACTCAAATACGGGGATCTCTCGACTGCGATAGAAAAGACAGGGCCATTGTGTTTTACGATGCATTAGATTTGCCTAAGGCTGAGCTGTCGACAACGTGCCAACATATGCGGTGGCACAGTAATAGGTTGAAGCTGCAGCATGTTACATTTGCGATTTCTCTCATCCGTGAGTGGACCTTATTGTGCAGGTCGTTGAGGTTGCTATAGTTGTGAGTGGCTCATTTGGTCTGCTTCATCGGTTGCAGCTGCAATGCTGCGAAAAGGGACAGCACTACACACCGGAAGTCTACCTTGGGCTTACATGCCTAGACGCAGAGTGCCTCATTTTCGCCCTTCGGCATGCTTTGTCTCCAATACCACTGCACAGCCACGTGCAGACAATCCAAACTCTTTGCCATCAAGAACCGATGGTATAGACAAGGAGAAAACAGAACATAGAAGAGAAGTCATTATACCTGCGTGATGTGTGTGAGATAAGGATGACAGACATGTATAAGGCGGGGTGCACTTACGGAAGTTGTTACACAAACACGTTGGAGTCCTTCGATAAGACGAGTGACGTCATCAACCTGTTGGTCAGCGAGATTGACACAAACAACATGAACTATCACAGAATCGTGGTGATGAGACGTAGTCAGTGGACATAAATTCATTGCTCGTGCTATTACGTTCCAGTTCCATTCCAAGTCGTCAAGCAACCTCAATCGATGTATGCAAGAGGGAGAAACGCGACCGAACCACTGTTGCCCAAGAGCCAGCCATCAAGAGAAGGCGGCGGCGACATCATCAAACAAATAGTCTAAGCGCGAAAGGGGGTATGAAGAAGAGGGAGCAAAGGAAGACTTGTTTATGGCTTGTGGATGTCAATGACCATCTCGGTCTCGACAGTTTCCGCCTTCTTGGCGAACCTGGCGACATCGGCGCCCTCGACCTTGCCGTACATGGTCTCGGCGATTATGCCGGTGATCTGGTATGGGTCACCGTTGGAGGCCGGGCGGCGGTCCTCGAAGTAGCCCTTGCCCTCGGCGGCGACGGCGCGGGGGATACGGACGGAGGAACCGCGGTTGGCGACGCCCCAGGTGAACTTGTCGTAGGAGGCAGTCTCGTGCTTGCCGGTCATGCGGAGCTGGTTGTCTGAGCCGTAGACGGCCATGTGCTCGGCTTGGCGGGTGGACAGCTTCTCCATGGCCGCCTCGATGGCCTTCATGCCGTTGTCGCCACGAGTCTCGTTGGTGGAGACGTTGGTGTGCAGGCCGGCACCGTTCCAGTCACCGGGGATGGGCTTGGGCGCAAAGGTAACCTTGGCACCGAACTCCTCAGCGACGCGGTGGAGGAGGAAGCGCGACATCCAAAGCTGGTCACCGAGCGAGATGTCGGGGCAGGGACCGACTTGGTATTCCCACTGGGCGGGCATGACCTCGGCGTTGGTGCCGGAGATGGCAATCTCGGCGTACATGCAGGCCTTGTAGTGAGCCTCGACAATGTCACGGCAGAAGACCTTGCCGGTACCGACACCGCAGTAGTAGGGGCCTTGAGGGGCGGGGAAGCCGTTCTTGGGCCATCCGTAAGGCCAGCCAAACTCGTCGAGAAGGGTGTACTCCTGCTCCAGACCGAACCAGAAGCCGTGCTCCTTGTGCTTCTCGAAGATGATGGCGGCGTCGTGGCGGAAGTTGTAGGCGTTGGGCGAGCCATCCGACATGTACGTCTCGCACATGACCAGGACGTTGTCGCCCAGACGGAAGGGGTCGGGGTAGTATGCAACGGGGCGGAGGTAGACATCCGAGTTGTCGCCGGGCGCCTGGCCCGTCGACGAACCGTCAAAGTTCCATTCTGGGAGGTCCTTCAGGCTCTCGACCTTGGACTTGAGCGTCTGCGTGCATGTCAGTATGAGCCTCGGGTAATCGGAATGTAGTCGGGTGGGATAAGGGAACGACGTCACTGCGGGCTGTGGCTGGTGGTGGGGTGCGATAAGAAGGAACGCCAAAACTTCCGGCAGAAGGAGCGATTGGCGCCATGTGCGTCACACATGCAGACCACCACGCTCGCGACTCCAGTCGTCGAATGGCTTCTCCAGATTGTGTATCGCACGGCGCGTCGCAGCCAGTTGCTGCTCTCGGCTAGAAACCTCGAACCGCAGACTAGACCGATCCGCAGCCGTAGCGTGGTGCAAATGCCGCGGTATATCGCAGAGATCGTGGAGATCGGGTTGAAGGATCGGAAAGCTGGAAGTTGCTGACCTTTGACTTGGAGCGGATTCCGTTGGAACCGTCTATCCAGACGTACTCGGCCATGACGGCGCCCTTTTGGGGCAGGTCGAGGTACTTCTTGAGCTGCAATGCGCGTTAGCATGTGTTTGAATGTAGCACGCGAGCAGTAGACTTACGTTGGCCGCATTGGAAACAATCGTTGAGTTCGCCTAGAATATAGTCAGCAGGAGTCGCGTGTAGGGGCAGTCAGCGACACGTACCATGACTGTGGTTGTGTGTGTGTGGTGGTGAGGGAATAGCAAGTAACTCTTGACTGCGACAAGACAAGGCAGTGGAGGGGTTATAAGAGGGGTCTCTGTGTGAAGTGGGGAGTTATGATGGGCAAGTAGATAAGGATAGCGGGCCTGGGGGTCTGTTATAAGGTAAGAATGCTGGATTGCTTTGACTGTCTCGGCCTGTGGCGGGGCTAGCCGTGCTCAGATACTACTTAGGCTGGCCGTAGCCAAGAGGCGTCGCCGAACTGTTTCCGTGGGATGAAGAAGCAATCAATGTCTCTAAACGCGCGACTTTACGCCGCATCCCAGCATGCCTTGCCCACTCTGCAATCTCTAGGCTTCCGCTAGCCACGGTTGTACCGTCTCTCTGGTGATATTGTGCCCAATCTCGCGTCGCCGGTTTTCAAGGCTTACCATAGGCCCACGCGGTCTTTGTCGCGCATCGTGATGTTGGCTGACGGGCGAACGCACAGACGCACAGCCTCACCAGCTTCCGAGTTTGAGCGATTTTGACGCTGGGTAGCGTCGCTGTAAGGGCAGCTAATTTTATCCAGGTACTGCCGAATTGGTCATGCCCTTCGGCCTTGGCCCGTACCAACGACAGTTACGACACACCGCTCCACACGACTATTGCTTTGCGATGGCCGTTCGTATGCATCGCCAACCTGTGCCCAACACGAGCTGCGTAACCCTGAATACCCAGACCCTGTGCGTCCACGTCTCGCGACACCTGCATGCCCAGCTCGCTGTAGTGCATAACCGTCGCGCTGGGCAGGGCGCGCCGTTGCCCGGGGTTGACATCGGGGGGCGATAAGGCCGCTTCGGGCCAATGGCTGCAATTGCAGTTAGTCCTGCCTCGTCATGGCAGCATCACGCAAACCGCTCAACGTCGTTTCTTGTAGTCAGCATCCGAGACTTCAATAGCCTTCCGACCGGTGTGCCCGTTCTATTTTCTGGGACCAGAGGACGTGCATTATTCTAGAAGAGCGCTGGAAGTCTCTGTCGCTGGTGTCGTCTCGGCTTCGATGGTACGGCTGGAGGATTCCCATCTCAACCCCACAGGTTTCCTGGCCCGCCGGCGACACAGCGCGCACGCGGCACATTCGAGTTGCACGAATTGCCGTCATCCAAATGATAATCCCTCTCCAACCCCACGATTGTGATTAATCCAGCGCGTTCGAGACATCCCGACAAAGGTAAAAAAGCCGCACAGCGACGTCGGCTCAACATTATCGTGCGTCGACGTTGGGCTTAGCGGGGTTGCGGGCGAGCCGTCGATCCGCTAGCACTGCATGCCCCCTGGCACCAGAGATAAGGGACATGGGCGAATTTCCATGTTACGTTAGCCTATCGAGTAACGCCGCCGGCCGTTGCGCCCTGGATGACATGCTTGCCCGCCAGCGACACAACAACAGCTTTTCACAATGTCAATATCTCACAAGTAGCACCGTCTGCGCAAACGTCACATCGCAGTTCACAAACAGCCTGACGTTTGACGTGAAGATCAGGAACCGTGCGTGTGGCGGTGTCATCTCCGCTTTAGGCAAGGCTGGAGGCCCGCTCGTGTGCTGGAGCGTGGTCGAGAATGCTTGTATTTCCCCAGATGATAGCTTGCGCTGATCCAGGGAGCCTCATCTGCATGGTTCACGCCAGGCAGCCAGTCAGCCAGTGGAGTGGTGGTGCTGAGCATGGACAGTGCTCACACGTGCGGCCTATACCAACGGGAGACGCATCACCACCAGACATTGCGAGTCGTTCGCAAGACGATGTCTAGCTGCGCTGGGAGATATGGAGGCCAACCATCAGACGTGCCAACGTCGATCCGTTCCCACCAACGAAGCCATCGGCGAACGGTGTCTGCCACATGGCATTGGCCTCTGGGCTGCGTCGCTGCGATACCCGGCGTGCGCACAGAAGCAATGTGTGGCACGACCCCTCTGGTGCGGTCCGGGACGATTGATGACCTGCAGCGCGATATGGGTGTGGTGGGGTGGCAGCAACGGGTGTACCTGCAGCAGCACAGGCTACGCTGGACGAAGCGCTCGGAACGATACGGGGGAAGATTTTGGCCATGGCCGACCTCCGGGAAGCTAGGCCTCCGGAAATGGCGCCAGTAGCATGGTGTTGGAAAATCCGGGGTAGATGTTGGCGTCGCTGCCGGATGGGGGTCGATGATGCTATAGGTTCTGCGCACTGATCTCGCGTTAGTACAACTCCACCCGCTCTCAGTCCATGGCGCAATCAGCTTCTCCTGATCGCTGTCTCTAAGCTCCCGAAGATGCTGGAGAAGTGATTGTCGTCGATTCATGGTCCACTGTATCGACATGGGCCAATCATGGTGAATGCCAATGACGCATTGACGAAGTAGCAGTTGCGACGCCAAACGTCGGGTTGAACAAGGGATTGCGAGCAGACGGTTCCGCGATATTGTCTCTGTCGCTGCACAATGAAGGAGCCTCACGTAGTGTTTGCGTGTTTGTACACTGGCAATATGGTCTTGTCTGCGAAAGGTCAGTGTTCGTCCAATCACTCCCGTCGGCACCTCCAGGGCTTTGAATTGGTCGCTCAGATAAGACGTCCCCATCACATAGCGGTACATGTGTTATATCGAACACGTCTATCATCGACCCTGCTGCCATTGGGGTCGCGATAGGTTTGTAGGTGAGCCATGTTGTCGGTCTCGGTTCGTCGACGGACACGCCTTGGCATGTACCTATGCCGAGGACATGGGATCGATTAACAGCAGCGAGTTCTGTTCCGACTGTAAATACCGCCTCGCGAGTGGGACAACATGGCGGCCATTCGCTCACATCGAGGTGATGCTGCGCCAGAGGATGAAGGAGAGGGTAGAGTAAGAGAAGGAAGACTGGAGTATGTCGCGGGGCCACGTGCTACCCCTACCCGTTCCTCACCTGAGTGGTTTGTTTCAAAGTGGGCAGTGGAATAGAGATGTCTACTCCGCTCCTTCCGGCAGCGACAGACGAGAAACGCGATGTCGTTCCTTCCGCTTTAGTTTCCTCGGCGCCTTACTGAGCATGGGGCAGCAGAGTTCGGCGTTCGCTCAAGACGGTACAAGTGAACGATCCCCACTACAGGTCGAGCTGTGTTGTTTGGAACATGAGGACTTACAGGTCTGCACTGGTACAGCAGACCTTGGATGGTGTCGCCGGCATCTCATCGCCATTACCTGAAGAACGGCGAAAGGTGGAAGCATGGACGTCGTTGGAACGCGACGAAATTCAAAAAGCAGAGAGCAAGTACTCGAGAAAAGGAGATTTAATCGTGCTGCGTGGTCATGTCGTGAAGTTGGGGCATGATGAGGGGAGGAAGCTTGGGCTACAGCCGTGGCCAATGAGCGATTGCGATGGGGTAACAGCAACCACGACGCTCCTGCTCTGCGCGTTTTTCGCATCCAGCTTGTGTTTGGAGACTATGTGCTATTTCAAATCGTTCACGAAGTGACTCACAAAGCCACATGGCGATTGCAGTTATTATTCAGACCTCAAGACATACGTGGGTGGCCCTAGAGTAGGAAGCAGGCAGAAGGCTGTGAACATGATACAAGAGCTGGGCGTTTAGCTGACAAGGGAAAAAGGTGCATCAAGGAAAGATGGGACGACTAGGTAACGTCAATAATGCGTACAAGTAGCAATACATTTAAGAGCAGCACTGCATGGAGATCACTGTCTACGTAGGTATTCAAGCAAGGTTCCTAGAAGTGAACATGCCAAAGGAAGTGAACGCGGAGAATCTGCCATGCAATAGCTGAATGCAGACAACAACTTGAGTTCACCACTGGCCGCCATGAGCAAACACAGCCAGGTCCAAGCTCCACCCTTCCACTACGCGCACGCGACTTCCTCGAGTTCCATCACTTTCAGTCTAAGCCCTCTCGACAGCAGACATATCTCGGATCTGCGCGCTTTCCCGCTACCAACACTGAGATAGCGGTGCAATTTCGAGAGTGAGGACCGCACGTCTTTCACTGACTTACCCACTGACGAAAGACTTGGTAGAGCCATGGCTGACAGCAACTTCCCCTACCATCGCGAGGAGCCTGTCAGTGCGCGACACCAAGCGGAACGTAACAAGACCTCAAAGCCGTCCGAGCCCGGTAGCAATCATGCATTCAGTCCCAAAGGATTGCCCTTGGAGACTCCTGAACAGTTCCAAGCCCTTATGCAGCTCGGTCAACAGAATCCAAACCACAGCCCAGCTTGGCCCAGTCTGGACTATCTTTTTGAAGAGAATGCACGTCTCCAGTCAGAGATTCGTTCTCAGATTCGTTCCAGCGAACAGCGCGCTTCGGACAAGGCAACCCGCGATGCGATACGGGTACAACTTGAGCGTGTCAAGAAGATGGAGATCTCGAAGCGACCCGTGAGCACCAAGGCGGAAGAGACAGGTCAAGAGAAGAGAACGTCGGCACCGTCAGTCCTTCCTACTGATCCTCACGCGCGCTCGCGACCACAGTGTGTTGCTGTATTGGCAGACGAACGCAAATCTCCACAGAGCCAGGCCTCACACGACATCACCAGATCGCTCGGTCACCGAAACAAAAGCCACCCCACTCCGCCAGGCCTCAGTGGCAATGATCATTCTCCTCCGCATGATCGCGATGAAGCTCAGGTTACAACAACAAGTCCTGAGAACATCGCAGCTGTTGCCAAATCGCCGAAGTTCAAGGATGATACCAGCCAGGCACAGTCAGGCAATGCATGCGCAGGACAAGCGATCGAGTGGCCGCAGCTTGAAACGTGTGTTGAAGGGTGCGATGAGAAAGATTGGACTCCGCCGTGATGCAAGCAGGTAGACTATGAAGACGGCGTGGAAGCCTCGCTTAGGAGGATTGATCGAGGAGGACCACGAGGTTTGGTTCTGTACTTAGCAGCACATACAAGTGGAGCCAATATACCAGACCGACTTCGTGTTATTTGCTGCCTATACTCTGTCAACTGTTTCATAAAGGATTAGGATGCACAACAATGTAAACCCCAACTTTGAATGTATCCTAGGCAACGAACGTAGGAAGTGGCGTAGTTCTGCTAATTAAATGAGGAAAGTAACTGCAAGACTTGTAGTAGCTCTAAAATCCGCCGCTGACGCAGAGTGCGGCGGAGAAGCTAGTCGAGGCTGCCCTAAAAGGTATTTTTGTAGATGTGACTACTTCCTCACGATCTGCACTCTCAGAACGGCGACGCCTTCCATACTAGCCCGACCTATACAAACTGCAGTATGCCGTACTTTGTCTCGAACCGTGGTTGTCCATCCAGCTCAAGCCCAGCCCCTGAGATTAGCGAAAGGATGCGCTGACTCGTCGCGAACCACGTCGGCGGGACGCGTGACCCTGGGTCGGCAATACAGGCCTGAAGGTGTCTGTCGCAGACGTGTCTTGTGTGACGGTCTCGCGCCGAAAACACGGCGACTTTGTTTCGCAGCACGATAATATCCGTCCCGGGGATGCAGGGTGGCTGTTGAGCAAAAAGAAAAGCTGCAGGTACGGCGAGCGTGGTGCGCGAAACAGAGACGTGGTCCTGGTCCCATGGTGCGACGACTCCACCTTTGACTGGCCACACTTTGGTAGACAACTACTAGACATGTACTGTAATATGTAGAGCGGCTTTACGCCGGCGTGGCACAAAGCCTGTCTTAGACTCTCTTGCTGTGGAGGGCGAGAAGCCACACAGCGACTACGGGCAAAGCAGCTAGGCCAGGGCACATTGCAGGAGACTACCGTCCAGGATCGCCGCTGGGATGTCTCTCACAAGCCGTGACAACCCCGATTCTGGTCTGATACTCTTTTGCTCGCCCAATCTCCCATCTGCCGTTTGCCCGTGCTTTTGCCCGTTCTTGCTGTTGCTTGAGTGTGTGTAATTCACGTCAACTTCATGACAACAATATTGTAACGTTTGGTGGCGTAGAGCGCTGTACTTTTCTTCGTGCGCAGCGCATATTACTCTGCCTAATCGATATCCCCGTTCCCGACGTGCATGCTCGACCTCCTGCGCCATGCATCGACACGCCCTGTCCGAGACGACTGGCATGGCGGGAATGGCCTCGTCGCGCTCGTCGCGGAGCCACAGCTTCAGCAGCGACAAGACGCCCTCGCTGGCCAGCTCCGTCACCTTCCAGATGCCCACGACGGTGCGCCCGGCGCCGGCCTACATTGCGGCATCAGTCGCCTCGCAGACGGTTACCGACCACCACAATGCCCAGCTGCGCGACCAGGACGCCGACACAGACGAGCTGCAGAACGCCATCTTCTCGGAACAGGCATTGGCCCTCCTCAATGCCTTCCTCGACCACCTGCTCTTCGCTTTCCTCTCTAGTGCGCGCTCGCCCGCCCTGACGGCCATCCGCCCCGCCGTGTCCGACGTGCTCAAGCCGCGACTGGCCCGCGATGCCATTGAGGCGGCCGACGAGGAGCTGCAGGGGCTGCTGGCCGGCGAGGACGACGACGAGCTCTCCACAGCGCATCTCAGGGCTGCTGAGCGGTGGGACGTGGAGAAGGTGTGGAAGCGCACCCGCCTGCGCATCATGGTCTACACCCGCCTGGGCGAGCTCGAGGACGAGGACGAGGAGCGATACGTCCAGCAGGAGCGCGGCCTCAGCATGGACGACGACGAGGACGACGAGGCTGGGCTGGTCGCCTGGGCCTCTGCCATCTTCCTCACCTCGGTCATCGAGTACGTGGCCGAGCAATTACTCCTCGTTGCCGGCTCGGCGGCCTTTTCGCGCATGGCAGCGCGGATGAAGAAGCTGGCCCAGCAGAACGACGACCAATCGCAGCAGCTCATCGAGCGTCTGATCATCGAAGAGCCCGACGTGGAGAAGATTGCCCTCAACTCGGCGCTCGGCAGGCTCTGGAGGACGTGGAGGAAACGCGTGCGGTCGCCCATCACGCCCATGTCCCCGCGAGGTGTCCAGCAAGCCACAAGCTACTCGAGCCTGCACCACCGCAAAGCGAGTCGCGAGACCATCAATACCCTACACAGCGAGCATGAGCCCCTGCCCGAACACCCCCCGACCGAGACCGACATCGCCGCCAACATACCCCTCCCCATCGGCGACAACGACGTCAACGAGATCGAGGTGCCTGGCCTGGCGCCCACATACGAAGACGGGGCCGAGGGCTCAGGCATGCAGACGCCTGTCCAGCGTCCTCAGCGGCCGTCCAGTGTCCTCCTGCTGTCTTCACTGGTGGAGTCCTCCATCAAGAGCAACAGGCCCCGTCCCTTGTCAATGCCGCTGCGTCAGGCACCACAGTTCACCATGCCCCCACAAGCTGAGGAAGAGGATACCCCCCTACAAGCAACAGAGGAGACTGCACAAGATGCTGAGTATCAACAAGACGAGTCGTCCGAGGAAGATGCCTCGATGGTTGCGTTCGCAGCGGCCACCGGCATGGGCTTCCGAAGGAGCGCAGTGGGACCGTCGCAGGAGCCAGAGCATCAAGCTGAGAAGGTCGAGGAGACTGAGAAGGCTGAGCAGGCAGACGAGACGCACGAGGTCACCGCTGAAAGCCCACCCCAGGTGATGCGGTCGAAGAGGATGTCAATCGAACGACCTGGCCCTCCAGGACTGGTACGCACATTCTCAACCCGCAGCTCGAGCCTCAAATCGCCCGTAGGAACACCCTTGGCAACACCAAAAGCCCCTTTCCATCCCGAAGGGCGATCCTATCTCGACGACGAGCCATCAGACGACGAGCCCGAGCAGCATCGTGCCATTGGCGTCGCGCGAACATCGGACAGCGTTATACGGTCAGCGTCAAACTCTCCTAGCGATTCGCTCCATGAGCGGAGGAGGCCGGGCAGTGGAGGCTACGTTGAAGTGCCACCTCGAGACTTCACGCCGACGTCGCTCACGTACAGCAACACTCCCTCGCCTGATAGCAAGCCCAACGTGCCAGACCGCTCCGTGGCACGTAAAGAAGTCAACAGAAGGTCTTTCACTGGCGCCGAATTGGTCCCAGGTCCCGCCGCATACGAAGGTCCCACCAGCGCGCCCAGGAGACAGGATCTAGCTCGCTCAGCATCGCGTGGTTCGTCACTACCAGCGCTGCAGGAAGTCGAGAGCAATACTCCACAGCACAAAAGGAAGACGCCGTCGATTCATACCAGCCGTAGCGTGCGTACCTCGGACAGTCCCAGGCGTAGTCCCACGTCTGCGACTGACGCATCCGAGCGACGAGCGACGAACCGCCTCTCCACAGACGACTCGGCTCGTTCTCCGCATGTGGCCGATAAGTCCTCTTCGGACAACTCTTCGCTGAAACGCGGCACATCGACATCATCCTCTCTTCGGAAGCAGGGCGCTTATCCCGTCGTCTCAAGCGGACGGGAGTCCATTGGAAGCCACCGCTCACGTGGACTGAGTGGTCGCATGTCTGAAGAAGACCGCGCCCGCGAATTCGACTCTTTGGTCAAAGGACAGGATACGGTAAAGTTTACATTAACCCCCGAAAGCGTGCGAACTGCCGATGTAAGTCGTGCTTGCTTCCCTGGATCACATGTGCTAACGATCTGTAGAAGGAATCCCCCGTCATCAAGAAGGCGGAACTACGCAGGCCGTCCGCATCTTCCGTAACTGTGTATCCCCGCGTCAATGCCGAAGACAAGTCGTTTGGTACTGCGAATCTGCCCAACACCACAGCACCGAGAGCCAAGGGACCTACTGCCGCCAATCACAAGCCTTCACCCAGTCGGAAGGTGGTCACCAGGCCGCTTGCAAGAGATCCGAAGATTGAGTCTGAGTCTATGCGTGACTTTGCGGACTTTATTCGGTCGACTGGTCCTTCTCCTGGACAGGAGAAGCCCGTGCAGCCCTTTGTCAACATCAGCGGAAATGGCCAAAAGTCGGGCAACCAGTCAACATCATCTCTCGGACGTAAGATGTCCATGTCCAAGCAGTCCAGCAGCGCCAACGGATCAGCCACGCGAGCTCGCCCAAACATGGAGCCGCGCAGTCCCGCAGGTCTAAGCACCGGCAACGGCGATCTCATCGACTTCATTCGCCAAGGACCCCCAGACGCAAACCACGGCCAACCCAGAATCCCGCGAAACGTAGCGCCCTTCCGAACGACCGTCGATTCCGACCAGTTCGAGACAATGCTCGGTGGCCACGGCAACGTCGAATCAGCATACGGCTCCGCTTCCTCAACCCTAGAATCAAAGGACAGCACGCAAACTATTAATTCCCGCACCGGCCTCATCCCTTCCCCCAGCGTCGTCCAACCCGCTTACTCCAACCAACCCCAACAACTCACCGGCAGCATGTCCGGCCCCGACGAACCGCACATCACCCGCACGCGTCGTCGCGTCAAAGACCCCTACGCCATCGATTTGTCAGACGAAGACGAGGACGACGAGGATGAGGATGAGGATCAGTTAACCGCTCTTCCTACGCCGACTAACCAACACCCGCCCCAGGTGCAGGCGCAAAGACACCAAGCACCGGAAACTAAGCGACCGCAGCCCCCGCGCCAGGAGAGTCTGATGGATTTCCTAAATGGGATGGAGCCGCCGAGTACTAGTAAACCTCAGCCTTTTATGCTGAGTGAGGAGACGATTGCTGCTGCGAGGGCAAGGGCGGCTGCGAGTTCGAATACTAGTCTGGGGTCTGCGGTGTCTACGAAGGGGAATGGGAATAGTTACGGTAACGGTAATGGTAACGGTAGTGCCCCAGCATTCGGGTCTATCAGCTCATCCAACTCCAATAAACCCAGACTCCAAGCTCGCGCCCCTGCTGTCGCTGACAATATCCGCGGTGGTGGTGGTGGTGGTGGTGGTGGTGGAGGTTTTGGTGGAGGTGGATCGAGAACAGCGACGAGTGACCTCGCCGACTTTTTGAAGAATAGCGGACCCCCGGAGATGCCGGAGCCTCGGCAGCAGGCGAGGAAGGAAGAGGAGAAGAAGAGTAAGAGGTTTTGGAGGAGGGGGAAGACTTATGGGGATTTGCCTTAGGTTTGAGAGGGGAGGGGGGATGAGAGGGGTGTGAGGGATGGGATGGGGAGGAGGAGGGGAAGGGAGGGAGGGAGTGGTTTTGTGATATTTTCTTCTTGGATACCCGGGTTTTGGTCTTAGTGTTGGTTCTTGTTTGAGGTCAAGGGTTTGGAGGTGGGATTTGGGATAGATGGCAGTAAGGCGGGCTTGGATATGATGGTTGTGGTGGCAGTAGCAGTTCTTGGATGAGAGAGAGTGTGTGTGTATGTTTGAGTGTGGATGTGTGTATTTGTTGGCCTGGCCCGCTCATATTGACTTGTAATGAATCATGGTTTTTATTTATGGAATGATATTATTTCTTTCTCTCGTTATCAAACGGAAAGTTGAAGTAAGATGGGTAGTGAGATGTATGAGTACTGTGTTGTTCGATGATGCTCAACGATGTTTAACTCCAAAACGGACTCATGCTTCCCTCTTGGTTTGATGTGCGTTGCTGTCCTGAAACTCCTGACACTCCCGCCGATGTCGACGCCGTCGTCCCAGCAGTGTTTGGCACACTTATCTTGTCAGCCAGCTTGATTTTCTAGAAAAGACAAAGTGTGAGGTAAAGGGAAGAATAACATACGTAACCTCTCTCAACCTCGCATCCGTAGCTGCTGCACCCGGTGTGCGACTGAACAAATCTACTACGTAGCCTACGATCTGAATTTCTTTTCGGACGTAGGGACTCGCTCTGAGAGCCTGGATATCGCTTTTGAGAGTAGTATCCGGAGCCGCTGTGAGGTGCGTGCAACCTAAACAAACCGTACTGCATTAGCCTCGAGCATTTACTTCCACCACTTCTCTCGTTGAGAAAATAGGAATCAAAACGTACCAGCATGTCCCATCACGATTATGAGACCTAAAGGTGTGGTTTGGTCGGCCCAGTAGATGCTGTTGATAGCGTCTTGGGTAACACGCGCACCGTTTGTGGTGAGCATTGTGGCGTGCGTGGTGTTGAAGTGGTGGGATGGGTGGAGGAGGGCAGATGTACTGGATTCTGTGCAGCAGACTGGGGGGTTTGTTAGAGTGGGTTGGGGATGCGTGGAGGGGAATGGGAAGGGGATGGGAAGGAGAAGGGGAAGGGGAAAGAGATGAAGATAGAGATGGAGATGGAGAAGTAATGGTGTGACTTACTGATGAAAAGACCGCCGGATGTTGACATGGTCGGGAAGTATATCTAGGTAGAGAAGAATCGGGGATTGATATTGGTGAAGAAGCGTCTAAAAGAAGATATGATGGTATGCGATATCCTTTTGACGATCGTTGTCGAACTTGACACTGATACCTCCCGTCAACACTCCTCCTCCTTCTTATACCATCTCCCACCTTCCCACCCTAACACCCATACCTTCTTCCAGGCCAACCAAATCAGACCATACCAACTCCCCTTCACTCATTCCGCCCACGTAATCAGCACACAACCACAAAACACCGCCACTCCCTCTCTCACCCTCCCTCACCCTCTCTCACCATGTACAGCTGACCAAGCAACACATCTTACCTTGCCTCTTCCTTCTTTTTCCTCGCCTCCCACTCGGTGAGAACGATTGAAGTGGATTACACATATCTTACTCTTACTTTCCCCCCATATCGACCCCATACCGACAAGAGAGAGGAAAAAGAAAAGGAAAGGCCAAGATATCTTGCATACACACATGCGCGTTCTAGACGTCCCCAACGTTAGCGCCAACGTATCTACAGATCAAAGACATGTATGGTAAACCGGTATGCTTAGTTCCTTTCTGAAACAAGCGCCTTGTCCACGCCTGAACCCTGGTGGTCGATGTGGTAGTCACAAGCATCCTCAGCACGAATGGATGGTTGGATGGATGGATGGACGGACGGATGTATCACCGCCAAACCATAACTCTCCGCTATGTTTAGCAAGCAACTCAAAACTCAAATGCTGACCTAGTAGCGCATTCGTAATAACGCCATACCACCTTTCCCTCTTCACTCAACACCCACATATTCCATCTCCATCCCAAGTCCCCTCGGCCCCGAACTCGGATATCGCATCGCAAAATGCACCCGTGTATCAAATCAACCTGCATGGCGCCACCAACTTCCACACTTCCCCTTTCCCGCCTAGTCAGGTACAAATGTATCTGTGTAAAATCGCATCATCACCTCTATCCCATTACCAACCCTTCTATGCTGCATGGCGTCATACCACCACTCTACGCCATGATGACGCTTTCCCCAAACGGGAAAAGCACGATGCATGCAAGACACGGAAATGGGCTAGTGGGGTAAGCTGACGGGTTGCTGAATAACACGACTTTGCTGTGACGTGTGTGTTGTAGATTATAGTTTGTGTGTGTGTTCGGAGGAGGGGGAGGTGGTTCGGACGAGGGATGTCGATGCAGTGTAGATGCAGTGTAGATGCAGAGGCTGGAATGGGGGTTCATGATGGTTTGAGTATGCGGTTGGAAGGAGAGGTGCGGCATCGTGGTTAGTCAAGTCACGGCATCGATTCTCCGAACAAGGTATAGACAGACGAGGCAATTTGGGTTCAGAGAGATGCAGCGGCAACCAAGCCCCTCGCATCGGCATGAATATGGCATTTCCGTCTTCTCATCTTCAGCACGTTGACAAAGACGAGCTGGGAGATTAGCGGGGAAGTACAAGCAGCAAGGATCCGGTCCGTTAGCGATGCTCTGCCCCACCTACGTGGCTGTGGCTTGCAGTATGCAGCTGATCGAACGGATCTCCGCCGCTATTTCACGCATGCATACGGCGAGTCTGTGGTGTTATAGTTGGTTGGAGTTGATGACTTTGCAGTGACAAATATACAAAGATGAGGGGAGCATAGGGAGGGGAGAAAAAAGGAATGGGAGGCTGGTATTGATTGTTGTATTGATTGCGGTGGTTTGTAATTACTGATTAAGGCTATGGGGGATGTGATGGATGATTGTGTTGTCTCTGATCTCTTGTTGAGCTGTTTCCTTTGCTATCCATCGCTGTTGTGGATAAATGCTGTCCTTGTATCTTCGCTGCGGGGTCTTGCAGAGGTTATGCAATTTCTCGTTGGGCGGATGGAAGCTTCGGTTGCTGACTACAACGAGGCATGTCCGCGACCAGATGGATACGAAACTTGAGCCTGGCGCACACAATGCCATTCGTCATCTCGATCCATCAAACGACAAGTTCCCGACAACCTTCATGGCAGCGCTTTATACTGCGGCGGCAGTGATCGCTCGCTCTCGTTCGCTGGTAGGACTTGAAGCGGTATAGCGATAGTCGTAGAGGATACCTCCGACTTGGGCTGATAGGGTGGCGGCGCTTCTCCACGCTCGTCCAGCCCCTCAGTTGGGCGAAGGAGAACAGAGTTGGTGGCCCCGTATCGTCCGTGTAGCAACCTCCGTGTGCCAGGCCAGGCTCCGGCGTCTCTCGCTGGTGCTTGTTGCCCGCTCTGACGCCGGACGGTCAGATGACGGACTTTGCGGCGTCGGATGAGCCATGCTGCGACGAGGATGAGCCCCGCGAGCATGCCGAGGAGGAGGTAAAAGTACTTGTAGAAACTGGTGTTATTGCGTTCTTCTGGGGAGAGTTCGGCGTCGTCGTCGTTGCCGCGGCGAAAGATGCTTGGTTCAGCCGCTGAAGCCGTTTCCGCGAGCAGACTGAGATGAGCCATTGCGTTGGTTGTACTACAGTGAGCGTAGTGTGGGTATTGAGTGGAAATAGCGAAGCATTCGTAAGGTTGCCCCAGTGAAACTGTTGTACGAGGGGCGAAGATGGTGATTAGGGCATGGGCGAGGTGATAGTGAGGAACGGCCTGTTCGCGGTTGTATCGCCTGCATTGTCCGCAGCATTTGCTACTTCTTCAAGTAGCTGGTGAAGGAGCCGCGAAGGAGCCATCTCTGTGTGGCATCTCCTGCAAGGAAGAAATTGAAGAGGTCTACAGCCTTCATCATGATAGATCTGAACGCCCTGGAGCGTACAATAACCTTGGGTTATCAGCGTTGCATACCTTCATCATTGTAAGATGGGAGTGTCGAAGTGATGCAGCGGAGGCCTCGGAATGGCGTGCTGGGGCTTGCAGATGATGGCGCCAAGCAATCGCGTCAGTTGCGCGCTCGCACCCTGTTGTCCAGTCTTCTTCTTAGCCCACCTACACCCCGCAACCTCGCATCCACACTCCAACATGGTCAAAGCTATCAGAGGTATGTCACACCTCTCGCACCAGTCTTCGCGATACTGAATTCCCAGGCACGCTCGTCAAGTGCGACGCTTCCATCAAAGCCATGCTGGTGGACATTGACAGCAAGAACAACAACGAATACATCATCGAGGAGCTCGACGAGGAGCACATCCTGGTCAAGGAAACGAGGATCAATGAGCTCAAGGCCCGTTTGAATCAGGTAGGTGGCGTGTTCATATGGTGTGGTCACTACTGACAGTCATAGATGATGAGGGAACGCTTGAAGGAACCAGAGAGTTCGGACTCTGAGTAGACGTCTGTCCTATGGTTCAATGCTATCACGATAAACCTTGTTCCCGCCTATCCTGCCCGCTCTCGACCGCTCGACCGTCGACCGCTCGATCCTTACATGGCCGCCTTCTGTGCCGCGCTCTCCTGGGAGCCTACCCACTTCGGCCTGTGGTCGGTGTACAACTCGGCGTTCATCGTCATGTTGTCAAGGATCTTGGTGTCGTCAAGAGTTCCGACCTTGATGATGCGCTTGCCGGCAAAGGTGTCGCCCTGGCGCCACATGGTCGAGCCACAGTCACCGCTGCACGAGGTCAGAACAGGACTCGCTATACCATAGCGAATACATACCAGAACATGGAAGTGACATCATTTCCACTGTCGCCCTTGACCGTGTGTGCCTTTGGCGTACCCTTGGTGACCTTGAAGCCCTCGTCCGAGTAGACGGCGTTGGTAGAGTAGGCGGATCCGGTGATCTTGCGGCAGTCAAGGCAGTGGCAGAGGATCTGCGTATCTCATCAGCAACAGAAGGAGACGACCAGGATACCACGCACGTTGCCTCCGCTCTCGCCCTGCACCTCGTAACGGACGTTACCGCAAAAGCATCCTCCGGCAGGCATCTTGATAAGTTGGTGAAGTGGAAAGTTGGTTGGTGGAGTTGTTTAGGCTGTGGAGGTTGAAAGAGCAAGTGTCGTGTTAGACTGCCTTCACCTCGGGCTTTATACTCGAATCCCTACCCCGCTGTATTGATCGTCAACTTGGACAAGAAGCGCCCTACGCATCCAAGTTCCCCACCACTGGCCTAGCGCCGAGGCCTGATTCGGTTCAAATCGCGAGGGTCTGCCGCCGACGCATGACGGGTAGAGGGAAGCCGTCCGCCTATGCTGCTTACGGTTGAGGGGCGTGTTTGCTGTCATTGGCAGTTCTGGGTCTGGCCATGGTTCTGGTCGGGTTATGATACTTTGCTTGGACGAGGGGCAATTCCAAATCAAACACTCTCACACCCATGCGGACCGATTGACAGTTAGAATGTTTGCTTAGCCGACGATGCCGACTATGCCGCACGGCTGTGGCGTGAGACCAGTGCTTACTGAGAACAATGTACCTTGCTTTAATACTTATTCGCAAAGAATACACTGCGCATGTGGTAAGCCACAGTTGAACAGCTATGACGTTGCCAGACGGTTTGCGGAGCGGGGTTTCCCCAATGCGGTTACGGCTAGTCGAAGCACGTGAATTCGAGTCAATTTGGCGTTTGCGCGCAGCCCGACCTCTACCTGTGCACGCAGTGAACACTATGCGATGGACGACCTCGCGCTTTGATCAAATCGGGTCATTGACCGCCTCGACTCCACCCACAACTACCTCATCAGCATGGCCGGCAACGCACCCAATGTCTGGACGCAGATGAACTATGTCCCTCCCCGCGGCCAATGCAACCACAAGCCATCTCTGCTCGCCGCGAAGTGTCCGTGTTTGCGCTTCATGTTGCATCCGCTGAAGGTAGGTTTGGATAACCCTACACCGCCGGTACACTAGCTAATCAGCATTCCAGTCATCATCTTCATACGAATGCGACGGATGTGGCCACCACGCCTCCTTCCACACCATGGAGAACAAGACCGAAGACGAGATAAGGAAGCGCTGGGAGGTTGAGGCGAAAGAGCGCAACGAGCAAGAAGCGCAGCAGCCGCGGCCGAAGAAACGGGTAAGAGCGATTGAGTACAACAATGAAGAAGGGGTCGAGGATATCTTCAACGAGCTCTTGCTGCAAGAAGCTAGGACCAAGAAGGCTGCACCCAAGAAGAAGACGGGGAGGGCTGCGGGGACTAGGGCGAAGGGAAAGATCAGTGAGATTCTCGAGGACGATGTGGTGGAGTTGGATTGAGTTGGAACACTGGAGAGGGAGCTGGCGTTTAGGTTATTGGGCTTCGGCCAGGCATCGCGTTATGATACCCCGCGCATATCTTCGTGCTTTACACATGGGAACATATTCAGTACTTTGGCAGCATGCATTTCTAGAGTTGGGGGTGGTCGTCCTGCCCTGCTTGGGACGCCAAGGCCAACCAACCGTGAGCGACCTTGGGCGCATGGCAACTTTCCTCCTCGCTTCATGAACATGCACGCAACATGATATCGTAACACCCACCCTCACTCAACTGCATAATTAACCCACACAGTGCCTTGCGCACTCACCAACGCCATCATGGCCACGCCAACGCCCAAAGACAAAGAAACGCCCTCGCGACACCTCAATGCCTTCTCCTCGCCCGCCCCACGCAGCGTCCCTCCCTCCGGCAATATCAACATGATGTCGTACGACTCGCCCGCGGTGCTTAACATGCTCAACGACGTCGCGAGCTCGGGCATGGGAGGGGTGGGCATGGGCATCACCATGAGCGGGCTGGGCATGTCCAGCTTGGGCATGAGCGCAAGTGCCATGGGACGCGCCGACGAAGCAGAGCGAAGCCGCAGACTGCGCGAGATCATAGACATTATCGGCAAGAAGCCCGGACGCGTCAGCGAGCAGGGACTGCTGGCCCTTTGCAAGAAGATGGACATACCGTGCGAGAAGCACATGGACGAGGCAGGCACGTGGAGTCTCTTGATCGGAGACGAGGCCCTGTGCGACGTCACCTTCAAGAACGACGAGATTGTCAGCGTCAATCTCCAGACCGGCCTGGACGAATCGAGAGCCGACCTCAACTTCGGCGCGACAGGCTCTGAGATCCTCGTGCGCAGCTTGAAACCTCTGCCCGGCCAGAGCAAGCTGAACGTCACGCTCGAGCGCTTCTCTGAGAGCTTGGAGAAGCTGCTGACGCTCGACAAGCTGGGGTCCCCGCAGAACGGCGGGGTCAGCTGCTACAATGCGATTGCGGGAGTCTACACGAGCCTCCGGAAATTGTTTGAGCATGAAAAGAAGATGGAGCTTGTAAACAGGAAGCCGGACGAGCGGTTCAGGACATACAGGGCCGAGCGCGAAGTGCTGTGCAAGAAGAGCGGACGACCGCGGCTCAACGGCGGATCGTGTCTCGGGCTGAGTCTGGAATACTGGATGGATGGACGCTTGCAGCTAGATGGGCCGACTGAGTCTGCCTCGTATCCGGAAGACCATCGCTGGAGTCGCAACAAGATGTATTCACTGACCATCGAATGCGAATCTTCGCCCTCCACTCTCTACACGCCCATCCGCATCTCCGACGACTGGATCAGCGACGCAGTTGAGAAGTCAGCCGACGCAGATGCAAATGTCTCCCTAGACAACATGCTGATGAACGCATCTTCGATAGACTGGCTCGACCCAAAGCCGACCTACCTCGAACCCCCCGAGCAGACCGACGATGCCATGAACCTCGACTCCGCAGCTGGACGCCTCCCAAACGTACGCTTCGTCGCCAAGTTCAACCCCCCTCTCGTCGTACCGCTCGCTGTGCACATGCAGCTATACCAGATCGTTGGCATTGAGCCTCGCACCGACGACTTCCGTCCTACCACATTCGCAGGCCTGGCTCTGAGGCCAGGCGAGGTAGATCCAGGCATGTCCAATACAACAGGCGACCGCACCCACGAGATTCGCAGCTCGCGAAAGGTCCTAGTACTAGAGCAAGACGCATCGGGAAACGACTTGGACAGGCGCCACGACATGAGTCTCTACATACCCAAGCTAGAATACAGCCGCACGCTCGAAAGCCTGCCCTTCAGCCACCCGAAGCAACTCGTCGAGATGCTGCCCGTGCTAAGACAGTACGCGCATGTCACATCACTCATCCGAGACTGCTTTTACCTCGCACCCGAAAAGCCCGTTCCGACCCACAAGCTCGGCCAGCATCCCACACTGACAGCTGCACCGCAGACGTCCGCGCAGGGCGACCTACCTCGCCTTCAACTCGACGTTACTCTAAGCTATAACCCGCCCACACCACGCTTCACCCTACACGTCCCCCACCCCGAAGCCGTAACATCTTCCCCCGACGTAGCAGACCTCATCTCCAACCTGCTCTCCTCCACCTCCACTCCCATCTCCACACCAATAACATACAACGCGCCCCTCGCCGTGACCATCGACATACATCCCAACGGCGAGCTCGTCGTCGTCGAGCAGAACATTCACGCCCACCACGACAGTCCTGGACAAGCACAAGCGCAACTAGAGCTCTTCGACAAGAGAACGAAGACGCTGGCTAGAGTGCTGGATGCAGCGGATGATCTGGGCATTTGGGCTGAGTGGCTTAGGAAAGAGGCGCTGAGGAGTAAAAAGAAGGATTAGGTGGACTTTCTGCGTGGACCGGAGGTTTATCAAAGTGAGGAGGAGATGGCAGACTGGCGGGCTTGGGCTAGGCAGAATGGCTGGGATGGGGTGAGGTGGAATGCAGGAGGGGATGGGGGGATGGGACGGGACTTCTTGAGGCTGGGTGTTCGGGACGGATGGAGCTGGAGCACGTCCTACGCGGGACAAATGCGATACTTTTGAGAATTAGGCTGTAAATGGGGATAGTGTTATTAGAACATCCTCAGAACTGAACGCAGGGGTGGCATGGTTATCGTGCATAAGATCTGTAAGAACTGAACGTGCCATGCCGAGCCTTTGCCCGCGGAACGGATTCCGATGACATAACTTCGCCTCGGCAACTTCCTTTACACCCTAACATGCTCCAACGTTCTTGTTTCCAAGTCTTGATTGATGACATCTCTGACTAGCTCGACCCCTACTCCGCCGCCGTTACCATCATGCCACCACCCACCTACAACCACTCCGCCCCCAACATCCACTCCCTCCTCTCCTCACTCACCACCCACAACATCACCCACACCCTCGACCTCTCCACCCGCTCCGGCAAATCAAACACCCCTTGGTCCCCCGCACCTTCAACCCACACACCTCTAATAGTCTTCTTCCCCCAAACTACCGCAGAAACATCCATTGTGCTAAAAGCATGCAACGAGCGTCGTATAGCCGTGACGCCTTTTTCCGGCGGCACGAGCTTCGGGCAGGCGCTGGGGAATGTGAGGGGGGGCGTATGTGTGAGTTTTGAGAAGATGAGGGGGATTGTCAAGGTGAATGAGGAGGATATGGATGTTGTTGTGCAGCCGGGGGTGGGGTGGGTGGAGTTGAATAAAGCGTTGGAGGGGAGCGGGTTGTTTTTCCCTGTTGATCCTGCGCCGGGGGCGAGGATAGGTGGGATGGTATGTACGCGCTCGCTCAAACGTTATAGGTGATGTGCTGACAGCGAGGTAGATAGCAATGTCCTGCTCCGGAACAAACGCCTACAACTACGGCACCATGGCCTCAAACGTCATCTCACTAACCTGCGTCCTCGCCTCTGGCGCCATTGTGAAAACACACAACAGACCCCGGAAAACATCTGCAGGCTACGACCTCACGCATCTCGTTATCGGATCCGAAGGTACACTTGCGCTCGTCACGGAAGCGGTGCTGCGTCTTGCGCCGATACCGCGGAACCTGCATGTTGGGCTAGCTACGTTTGAGACGTTCCAAGAGGGCGTGGATGTTGTTGTGAGCCTGCAGAAACTGGGTCATCGGCTTGAGGCGTTGGAGTTGGCGGATGGGCCGCAGATGAGGTGTGTTAATGTGTCGGGTCTTGCGCCTGCACGCATGTTTGAGGAAGTGCCGACGCTGTTTTTTAAGATTGCGGGGCCGTCGGTGTATAGTGTGCAAGACCAGATCGCTGTTATGCAAGAGCTGTGTAAAACACACGGCGCATCGCATGTTGAGATCACGAATGAGGAGGAAGCGGTGGGTGTGATCTGGGGAGCGAGGAAATGTATGGGCACGGCTCTTCTTGCTATGAAGAAGAAGGATACGGATCTTTTCTTACACAGCGACTGCGCAGTTCCTATTTCGAATCTCTCCCGCCTTGTCGCCGGAACTCAGGATCTCATCTCCCAAGCGTCGGCTGCGAATCAAGCGGATTGGTTCTGTGCCAACGTCGGACATATCGGGGATGGTAACGTGCACTCCAGCATCGTCTGCCCACAGGAACATCACGACGCAGCGATGAGTGTAATCATGGACATCGCTCGGCTAGCGCTGAGCTTGGAGGGCACGGTGACGGGTGAGCATGGTGTTGGGATGAAGTTGAGGGATGCGCTGGAAGAGGAGGTGGGAAGTGAGGGTGTGGAGGTTATGAGGGGGGTTAAAAGGGCGCTGGATCCGAGGGGCATTTTGAATCCGGATAAGGTTTTTAGGTTGGAGGTGGATGGGGTGGGGGGAGGATGTAAACTTTAGGTTTTTGAATCGCTGGACGAGGGATCTGTGTTGTTCGAGACGAGATGTCTATCTATCATGTAAGACATGTGCAAAATGTCCACCACCACCCCTCCGACTCCCCCACCAACCCGTGAAGAAGAAGAAGAAGCTGACAAGCGTGATTTGGTGGTGGTAGACTACACGGCTAGTATAGTGAGTTGTTATTTGGAGATTGGAAAACGGAAAGTTGAGTATCTGAGATGTGGACGCAGTTGCTGAGGCGAAGCCACATCTTCGGAATAAGTTCCGCGGGTAACAAGCATCAGCAGAGCAGCTGCGAAGGCGGACACGGTAAACCTCATGACGGCGACAGCAAGGTCGAGCAGGCCCTCTATAGCGTGTAGGAGCCTCAAGACACCTCGCTATGATCTACACTTGTACTAAAGTTTCCCAATCGGGTAATAGGGTAAAATGTAGGTTTGCCGCGCGATCTATGAAGATTGTAGAGGGTTCGATTCTGTTCACAATGTAACAATATTCTGCCATTACAACTTCGCAGTGTCCTTTAGGTTGCCAGTAGCGCCAACCGTCTTCAGCGCATTCCACAATTTCAGACCTTCATCCAATCGAAAGTCTTCTTCGATAGCGACATTCCCATCTTTCTTCAGCGTTCTCAACTGCATTGCATGCTTTGTGCCCCACTCCATCTCTTCGCCTTTCAAGAACCTGCTCAACGGTTCGTGAAACGTCTTCAACGCAATCTGCTTCTCCCCCCCAGTCAGATCGCTTCCATTCCCCCAGAACCATATCGCCATGTCGGAGCCGTGACTAGCACCGAAGCGCTTGGGCAACTCTTTGTCAACACACTGCGCCCGCCATTCGATGCGGTATCGATGAAGGAGATCTCCAGCGCCATTCTTCACCAACGCGTTTACCATTCCGCGACGCAGAGCATGAATCTGAACATCAGCGTAGATATGGCCGAAAGCCGCCTGCCAGCTCGAGTACTTTGACGGCAGTTTGCGATTGGGAAAGTAGTGCGACATCAATACCTTGCATGCCTCGCGAGGATAGTCAGCTTCAAGACGGTACAGCATATTGTCGAAGCCCGGTGTAGGTGGTCGCCAAAGACCGTAGACATGATGCTCGTCGCTGCATTCGCCAATAATGAGCTTGACGTTGCGCCGTTTCATGCGCTCCGCATAAACACCATTCGACAGCTCTTCGAGAAGCCCATGCCTTACAAACTCCCCATCAGTAACAGCGCGGAACTGATGAAGCTTGATCCCGTTACTCGCTTCCACAATCGCCCTCGGACTCAACTCACGAAGCCGTGCCAACTTCTCAGCCGGCGACTTCGCCAAATCGATAGCCAACGCCCCCAATAGCTCGTCAAACTGGTCCTGCGCCTCTCCCAAACTCTTCGGTTGCATGCCCGGCCCATTCGACAGCATCAACGCCCTCTTAACAACCGCCTTCTCATCCGCGCAACCGAGATCGTACGACAGCTGATGGAACACCGAGTGCGAACCCGCCGAGTAACCCCCGACAGTAATATTCGCCGCGTCCCCACCAAAATAGCTGACATTCTCATACGTCCACTGCAAAGCCATGCGCTGATCCCAGAAGCCAAGATTAACACCAAAACCATCAGTAGCAGAACACGAGTCGATCAGCTCTTTGGATGCGAGAAACCCGAATACGTTTAGGCGGTACGCGGGAGCGACGACGACGCATTGGATGGGGGACTCGCTGAGTAGCGCACGGAGGTCGAGTCCGTTCGGGCTACCCCATTGCAGGAACCCGCCGTCTAGGGCGCGTTAGTGCGGATCTACCACGTGGTGCCAGAGTTTATATCCCGTGCCAATGTGCGCCAACCGAGGATCTGCCTCGAATGCTGTTTGCCGTGAAACGGCGATGGCCAAGCACTAACAGGTTACGAGTGCGAGGAGGAAGAAATGATTACTTACGGATCCAGAATAGTACCGGCCAACCTCCCCGAGTCAGCTTTCAATTGGTTGAGGTTTGAGGGAGTCAGGGACATACCTTCTGCTGGCGATGGCCCGGCTGGAATCCAGATGTTGGTTTGCAGACAGTCTTCGTCCCAGGCGGGCTCGTCAAGGGTTTCCGTGTTGGAGCCTGGTTGCGGACATAGGCCACAGCCGCCTGTGTATCGTCCTGGGTTCGCTTTTGTGCCGTAGCGGTAGCATGGTGGCAGGGACCGTGGCTTTTGGAAGCGAAAGGGGCCGACGGGTGGGAGGGCGTATGGGACGCCGCCGAAATAATGACATTGTGCTTGGCCATCGCTGTTGAGATACGTCAGGCCCTCAGCGAAGCCACGAAACTGAAGATCGCGACGATATGGTTTCGACGGCTTCGACATGTCGATGGAAGGTGATGTGGTGCAGATGAGGTTGCTGATCAACGCATGTGCCTCGGCTAGATGTGAGACAGGGATCTGCGGCACAGCCCCTGATGGTGATCATGATGACCATGGGAGCGGGAATATGTCCGTGAGTGCGCAACGGTGCGGGAATGCATTCCCGGTATTGGGTAGCATGGTGGTTTGAAGATCATTAATTCATTATCATTACTATGTGCTTCTGTATAGAGAAGCGTTTTAAGCCCACTCCGTATGGTCGCGCGACGCTATACTCTTGCTGTCGGCTGTCACACTGACATGTGTAGTCTTCATGATTGCGTGATCGGAGCCTTTTCTCTCATGGCTCGCCTCATCTGGCAGTATGCCGAGTTCACTGTCATCATCCGTCTCGTGCTTCGGCTTTGAAGACCTTCCGCTGACCTGGGGCCCTGATACTTGGAGCGCATAGCTTTGTCTTGATCCCTTGCCTGATCCTCCTGTGAGACTGGTTGGCAGCACTTTGCGGAGGACGTTCTCGAATGTCTTGCGGAGTGGTGGAAGCGAGGCAGTGAAGGCGCCAACGAAGACTTCGGCAATGGCGAAGATGCTAAGGTTGACGGAGGAGTAGGTTGGATCTGGCGATTCGTTCAATGACTTCATCTCGTAGAGTTTGAGTGCAGATATGGTGGTTGTACTGAGGAGCGTTAATGACGGGATCAAGATGCGCAATAGCATAGCAACTTACATCAGACCGCACAGGAACACTGCGCGAACGCCCCAGATGGTCCGCTTCGGAAGTTGCACCCTCGCAATGTAGATAAGTGGCGCCATGGTGTAGAGCAGATCAGTCGCGATATTGACAGCAGCGCCCGAGTATCCAGAAATGACACGCGGCTTCGCGTCCCAGCAAGAGCCAGGTTTCATTCCGGAGACATCCCAATGCTTGGTGTATGGAGTGCATTCGCCGAAGAGAATGACCGTGGGAAAGACGAAGTTGACGCCTAGATGGATCACGACGGAAGCCCAAATGATGATTCGAAAGGTTCGCGAAAAGTCCAGCATGAAGATGTAGGCGCAGACACTCAGCTTGATCAAAGCCATACCGTATAGGTTAAGCAGCTGACCCAGCCAGAGCATGTAGAGGTACGTCTCCATGTTTTGAGGTGTCAATATCGGGTCCCAGACGTGCCTGCCGCCTCCAACTTCAGCCATCTTGTAACAGCATGCTGCGCCTGCGACAGCTATAACCTGAAGCTGATTAGCAAATGCTTGGAACTCTTATTTGATCGCCACTTACTTGTCCCGTCCATAGCAGATGGTCGGTTAGTAGGAAGTAATTCCTGTTCTTCCAGTTTATGCCCAAGCGGAGTATAACGAATATCGAGCTGAAGATGATCAAGGTGATGATGGGTATCTTGAGCGCATTGGAGCGGTCGTCCAAAGGAAGCCCCTCCGGTGTTGTGGGTACACCCATTGCGGATGGGAGAATGGAAAGAGGATGAGACACGGAAAGATAAAGATGCCCAATGAAATTGGCTGACCGGAGACCTCTCCTCGAAATGAGCTTCTGCTGATCACCTGAAATGCTATGCAGGCTGATGCAGCAACGGGCCGGGTGGACGTGCTGTTATAATTGCTCTGTTAACGTTCTGCAGATAGCCAGACATAAACGGCGGAGTGGCCGACCGATGTCAAACTCAGCCAATCCCGTAAGACGCAACGAAGCATGCAGGAGGCGGTTAAACCCTATTCCTACGACTGTGCGCCGAGGACTAGCGCACATCACCGTGGCAGGTCGTTAGTCAGGATGCGTTCATGCTCGGACATCGTGGTCCAGATCTCCACTGATCAGCTTGAAGGAGGCAGCCGAGCCGCAAGGCTCTGCAGATCAAACATATCTCCTCCTCTTCTTGCGCAAGCTCTGAAAGAGCCAGACGCGCACGGTCGGGAGACCTTCCACAGCCACTCTCAATTTGTCTTCTGGAAACAAACCCAACCAAACTCTTGAACGCTGCTAACCCACAGCCCCGAGATTAGGTTCATCGTGAGTTATGGCCGGAGCCAGCAAGCACGACATCTGTCACTCGGTTAGCCGTCATGGCATGGGCTAAAAGGTTATGATGCGCGCCGTTGCACGAAGGTTTAGCTCAGGCGGGCGCCGATGCCAGGCCATCAGGCTCGAAACGGCCTTGTCAAGTAGTATGAGTAAACAGACAGCGAGGATCGAGTTTCCATCAGTTCGAGCGCATCAAATACCCCTTGCATTCCCAGTGTGAGCAGCCGACGCGAAATCTCTGTGACGATGTCATATTCAGTTAACGGGCCGAACGGGTGCGACAGCACCGGCTTGTCGCTCGCTCTTCGCTACCGCAATAATTCTAGTACAACGTGGGTGCCCGCAGCAGGAAAGGTTGACACGCGACGGTTGCTGAGCTCGTGAAGTTAGTGATGCCGCCAGGTTTGTGTCTTTGAGTGGCTAGTGTGAGAAAGGAGCGCACTATTCCCGATTGAGCCTCCTCCGGCCGCCACCTATAATCTAGACGATTGCAAACCTAAACACTCGTACGCCAAAGCATAATAATCGACCTAACGACGACCCGCAACAGCGCGACAGCAGGATGAGGACGATGGAGATTTTCACCAGTACGGCTCTTGCGACATGACAGCCGTGGCCCCTGCATTCCCGCGGTTGTACCATGGGCCGCCGCTTCGCCATCACCACACCGTCGGTCTCGCCCTTTGAACTATCGACTACTATGTGGTTCGCAGGACAAAGCGCTGCACCATCCAGGGTAAAATCTCCTCATCAGCTCGCGTGGCGCACGTCATACGACGATGCACGTGGTTGTTACGGCGGGAGCTGATAGTTGACGCCACGTTAGCTGTACTTGCCAGATATCGATGACTGCAGCTCTAGGCTTGTCGATAGCCGGGCAGATTGACAGGATCACTAGGCTTACCATTTCCAGTCGACTACGGTTATACTTTTCAGCAAGGTTTGCGGATCTCTACGTTGTTCCCGCGCAGGATCGATCCAAGACCCCGGGCAACATGCTACATTGAGCACTGTAGACTCTGGTACCTTTGAGCGCCAGTTACTCCACGAGAAAAAGTCGTTACGCAACGCCCAGCGGGTAGTATAGAACTGCCATGGCATGCCGAAGCTCGTTTATTTGCAAGCGAAACACTCCAGTAGCTTCGCGTACTCAGGGGTGGCCCGTCCGTCAGCTACTTGACAAACGGATCAGCCCTGGTATAAACCTTCGACGATCCGTAATCTTAGCTCTCGACGCACCACTCACCCTTGCGCCATTCGTCTGGTGCTCATACACTCCTTCTGTCCATAATTTCTAATATGTCTCTTCTTCTTGGGGGCATTTTCTACCTTGCGTCTTTCGTGCCGCGCGTGTTGGACCCGTCGGCCCCGGGTAGCAACAGCGGCGAGCCAGATGTTGGAGGGCAATCGTTCGACTACATCATTGTTGGTGGCGGGTTGACAGGCCTGACAGTTGCCAACCGCCTCAGCGAAGATTCAAGCCGTGAGTAACCACATCCGGCGTTGACACATGGCCCTAACATCCTCAGGTACTGTTCTCGTGATCGAAAATGGATATGTCGTCGACGATGTCACCACTCAAGTACCTAGCTTCGCCAACAGTGTCAACGCAAATCTCATGTACGACATCACGTCTGCATATGACACAAACACAGGCGGTACGCATCCTGTCTGGGTGGGTAACGTTGTTGGTGGTGGATCTGTAGTCAACGGTATGGCCTTTGACCGAGCATCTGCCGCCGACTACAATGCGTGGGAGCAACTTGGTAACGCCGGCTGGAACTTCAACAGCCTCCTATACTACTTCAAGAAGTCGACCACATTCACGCCACCAACCTCGAACAACGTGAAGAGCTTTGGCACTACGTATGACGCATCTTACTATGGCACCAACGGGCCGATACAAGCATCGTTCCCAAACTTCGAGTACGAAGACACAAAGACCATTTGGGCAGCATACAAGCAATCAGGCGTGCCTTTGCCCAGAGAACATGCTTCAGGGAGGGCAGTGGGTGCCTTCTGGATACCCACAGCTCTGCGACCAAAGACTCAGACACGATCGCATGCGAAGAACGAATACTACGACCCTGTCAAGACCCGGAGCAACCTCGTACTGGTAACCGGAAAGACTGTCAACGAGGTCCTCTTCGACAAGGGCCTCCTCACTGGATACACAGCCAATGGTGTTCAATTCAAATCGCGAACGGATGGCTCGGTTAAGCAAGTCTACGCGAAGCGCGAAGTCATCATGGCTGCCGGCTCAATCTTCACGCCACAGATCCTTCAACTCAGCGGTATTGGGCCGAGCGATGTCCTTAAAGCTGCTGGCATAAACGTGAAGAAGAACATGCCCGCTGTTGGCGCCAACATGCAAGACCACCCTAATGCGAACATGGTGTTCGACCTCAAGAACCTTGCCTTCCCCAACATCTACAGCGGCGCAGACCCCACTTATAACGCTACAGTATGGTCTGAGTACGACACAAGCCGGAGCGGTCCCCTCACGCAAGCCCATGGCAGTAGCCTAGCCTTCCTCAGTCTGCAGACAGTATGCGACAATTGGAACCAGATTGTGCAGACTGTCAAGTCACAGAACGTCCGTAGTTACCTTCCTTCAGTGTACGACGACTCCTCTCTGCTACGCGGCTTCACCAAGCAACGCGACATCATCGCCGGTCTGCATAGTAGCGCCGACGCCGCTGTTGGCGAGTTCCCCATGGTACCCTTCGGTCTCGCCATCAGCTCCCTGCAACGCCCCCTCTCCCGCGGCACTGTCACCATCAACCCAAGCAACAAGTACGGCAACCCCATTGTCCAGTTCAACGCCCTTCAAAACCCCGTCGATCGTCAGATCATTGCTGGAATGGTTCGATGGACGCGCAAACACTGGGCGAATCCTGAGCTCAAGAAGTTCTCACCCGTCGAGCTCACTCCCGGCACCCAAGCGCAGACGGACGATGAGATC